AACCTGTCTGAGACCTGCCAACCAACCAGTCCTGCTTCCGGAAGGAAGAAACAGTTCTAGAGCTCTTCAGGCCTCCCATTTTATTTGTCTTCTCATAAAACATAAACATATCCTTGTCTTGGGACCTGCTCGTGATATCCTCAAAGTAGCTCTCTCCATAGTAACCTACTAGAACAACTTTTAGAAGACGGACTAGTCTTGTACCTACAGAGACCCGTACTTCCAGAATCTGCATCCCTGTGCTGGACTTCAAGGATTGTCATGCATTATAAAAAGGCAGGAACTTCTCCATCACTTCTTCTCAAAGTTTAAATCGAATGAATGGCACTGTGGAAACTTATATGAAAAATAGACCAAATTCCTCAGATTCACCTTTGTTCAATCTCCCTTGCTTTCATATCTCATTGTTTAAATACATGAGACAAGTCAGGTGCCATGAACAGAGGACCTTACCTTGAAAGGTGTTGGCCATGTACCTTCATCATCTTTGGCTCTGCTTCTGGAAGCAAGAGGACAATCGTGGACATTGATGGCTATAGGGCTGGAGTATTTGCCATTGGCCATCAGCATGGCCCTGGGCTTTACATTACACAAATTCATCTTCACATTCCTCTTAAAAATAACTTACAAAAGAATGTTCTCTGTAAAAGGATGTTTTCCTTGAAGGCCACACAGACGTCAGATGGTCCCTGAAGCTAATCAGAGCCTGTGGATGATGAGTGACTCCCCATGTCCTCATGACATTCCTCACCATTTGGGAGCTGATATAGAAGATTACTATGCAACTTCTTCTCTCTGTTTCTTTTTTTTTTCCTTCTATAAAACCAGCTGTGTTAGCTTTTCACCACTGTGACAAAATATCTGAGACAATTAACATAAGAGAATAAAGGGTTTTTTTGTTGTGTGTGTGTGTGTGTGTGTGTGTGTGTGTGTGTGTGTGTGTGTGTGGTCATAGTTTCAGAAGTTTCAGTGGCCAGTTGTCTCTGTTGCTCTAGACCTATGTTGAGAAGGCTTTTCATGGTAGGGATAATGTCTCAGGAAGATTGCATCACCCCCTACTAGAACCACAGGCACTCAGGGTCTACATCACAGCATCAGTCAATGCTTGAGTTCCAGGAAGAATGAACCATTGTAGTGGAAATCTGGGACATGGCTAGAGAAAGGGTCAAGTCCAAGATCATCTAACAATGGAGGAGGCTATGGTCTGTCTACTTGAGAACCTGGGAGTCTGTCACTGGTCCCTTTCTGGGAGTAGTTCCACTGAGTCTCAAGCCATACATGGCATGACTCTTCTTATGGTATGCACTTACCATATACTACCAGTCTCCATAATATGCTGGGCGTTATCAAGGAGCAGGCACCATGATCTGTGACTATAAAATGCATGTACTGGCTTCATTCTTGGATATTATGGAGAAACATAAATCAATGTATTATTGGGCAGGACTCACATCGATAATGAATGGACTACAAGTATCAGGGGTGAGATAAAAATGACAGCTTTTGTGCTCACATCCCAACCTGATGTAAATACACCTTTATCCAACATCTTCCAAGACACCTCAGGACCCTGGGGCCCACTTGGCCCTGTCTGCCACTAGTTGATGCAAAACTCTTGTGTGTGGGACCCAGCAGGCAGCCCATAGCCATCCTCAGTGACATCTATCTCACTCTCTGAATCCCAGGAGATACAACACATACCATGCCTGACCAGTACCTAGACATCTGGGAAGTGTGCCCCAGATGAGCACCCACTGGAAAGGGAAATGAGGCATGGTGAGTCTGCAGAGTCAACCCTACTGCCAGACAAGGTGGGGGACGAAGGGAGCAGTGAGGAACCAGAGTAGAACTATGCTCTTTGACTTAACAGCTGAGGTTGGTGGCCAGAGATGTTACCAAGGGAGGATGATATTCTAAGTGGGATCTGAGGACCAGAAAGGCACAGGCAAAGTTAGGGGAGAATATTCGAGACTGAGAGACAAGATGCTCTAAGTCATTGATGCAGAAGAGCATGGAGTGCTATAAGGACTTGAAGACAGTCTGAGGTATGGAGTCCAGAGGGAGGAAAGAAAAAAGAAAAGGAAAGGAAAGGAAAGAAAGGGAAGGGAAGGAAAGGAAAGGAAAGCAAAGGAAAGGAAAGGAAAGGAAAGGAAAGGAAAGGAAAGGAAAGGAAAGGAAAGGAAAGGAAAGGAAAGGAAAGGAAAAAGCCTACAAGATATCTTTAAAGAAGCAATTGCTGACTGTTTCCACCCCCATCAGGTCAGGAGAGGGACTACAGTAGAAAGGGTGCAGTAGAGAGTGTGGCTTAAGTCTGAACCCAACAAAGAAAGGTGAGAATCCCCAGCCCAGGCTCAGGATGGAAAACTACTAAGAAGAAACATTGGGGATAAAAGTGGCCTAAGAGGATGCTTACTGAAGGCAAGCCTGGGGGGTTGGGGGAGATGCTACCTGGGAGGTGTTGCTAGATGAGGATCCCAGTTAGATATGGTTGGTGATGAGACGTGGAAGGGAGGTCTGACTAAACAGAATTGGGGGTTCTTGCTAAAATTAGACCATGAAGAAACAGGCATGGAAGCAGAGAATACAGGGCCAGCCCGAGGAAGAACTCTGAGGAGCTAACCAGGACTTTGAGTAGGGAGAGAATTTTAGTGTTCTGGCTAGTGTCTTGTCAACTTGACATAAACTAGAGTCATCAGGGAGGAGGGAACCACAACAGGAAAATGCCTCCATCAGGCTGGCCTGGAGGCAAGTCTGTAGTACATTTTCTTGATTAATGATTGATGTGTGAGAGGTCACCCACCATGGGCAATGCCGCCCCTAGGCAATTAGTCCTGGGAGGTATAAGAAAGGTAGTGGGTATGAGCCTGGCAGCAAGCCAGTAAGCCAGCATTCCTCCGGGGCCTCTGCTATAATTCTAGCCTTCTGGTTCCGGCCTTGCGTTCCCTTCACAAAAGAATATAAGCTGTAAAATGAACTAAATCGTTTCCTCCCACAAGTAGGCTTTGGCCATTGTTCGTCACAGTGACAGAGAGTAGCTAATATATTTATCTAGAAAGAACTGGATGGTATGAGAAGCAAGGGTGGGGCTCAAGGGTCTACTCATGGAATCTGAACTGTCAGTTCAGGGTGACAGGGACATGAATGGATACACACCTTTAAGACTACGCTTAAAATGGGCAGAACTAGGAAAAACCATCCTGAGTGAGGTAACCCAAAATCAGAAAGACAAATATAGTATGTACTCACTCATAAGTGGATATCACACATAAAGCAAAAGATACCCAGCCTACAATCTACAACCCCAGGGAAACTTGAACCCTCTTCCAAAAACAGATGGAAGCAGATGCAGAAATCCACAACTTACCAATGGGCCAAGCTCCTAGAGTATAATCGAAGTGAGGGAGGAGCAATAATATGAACAAAGGAGTCAAAACCATGATGGGGAAACCCACAGAATCAGCTGATCCCAGCTAGTGCAAGATCACTGACTCGGGTCTGACAAATGGGGAACCTGCATAAGACCATACTAGACTCCTTTAATATAGGTGACAATGGTGTGACTGGGACAATATATGAGGCCACTGGCGGTGGGTCTAAGATCTAACACTAATGCACAAACTGACTTAGTGGAGCCCATTCTATATGGAGAGACACCTTGCCCAGCCTAGACACAGGGGTGTGGGGGTGGAGAGGTGCCTTGGTCCTGCCTCAATGAGATGATGGGACAGACTTAGTAGACTTCCTAGGGGAGGCCTTACCCTCTTTGAGGAGCAGATGGGAGGGGCGAGGGAGGGAGTGGGAAAAGAGGAGGGAGGGGGAACTGGGATTGGAATGTAAAAAAAAAAAAAAAAAAGACTATGCTTGAAGTTATGTATTGAAACTTTCCCCTGATGGGAAAACAGACAGAAAATCTGGGACATGGAGACAAGGCAATCTTCCCCAGGTAAGACAGGTAGACTCACAACAAAGAAGTCACCAAAAGCCACATCTCTTTATGTGTGTCATGAAGGAGACAGGAAATGAGAACTGAATGCTTTAATGAGAGAACTGTGGCCTGGATGGTCCAAGGTGGAAGCGCCAGGAAGCAGGGACATCAGAAGTCAACAGACACTGAATATGAGAAGTTAAGGGTGTGTGAGGGTTACAGGTGAGTCAGACACAGACAGACCAAGAGAGGATGTGAAGCACATTTGGGAGACCCAGGAACACTGGGCCTCGGTGTAAGTGAAACCCCACAGTGCTCTGTGTGGACAGTGGTACAATGACCACACACAAAGAATTCTGAAGTTCCTAGCAGCATGCACTCTTAGAAACAATGCTCACCGTTAAATCAAAGTGAACGCCTCTTTAAGAAGCTCGCAGTTTCTGGTCCTGAAGCCTAAAGGAACCGTCTCATATGTGTGCTGATAAAACAGATGTGATTGCAAAATTATTTTACTGCTTTACATTCCTCAACATAGACTAATAACTACAAAAATACCACATAACTAAGGAACTTTCAGTCTGTGAGGAACCAAAGATTCTTCACTGATGTGAACAGTTCTTGGGTGGTTTTGCATAATCTGCATAATCTGAAGTAAATTTTAGAACAGAATACTGAGTGGGCTGATGATCTAAGCCGTTTTCATAAATGAGCCCAAATAGGAGAGCTGAGAGAGCCTCAGCTGAACTATATTGTTCTAACAAAAACTCAGCGGCTCCATTTCTGGATGTTGGGGTGTGTGCCTAGAACTGGGAACAGATCCATGAGGAGACAGGAGCTCTGCCCACAAAGTAGTTGCAGGAGCGGGGGGGGCAGGTGCCTAGACAGAGCTCTGCAAACGTGCTATGCTAGGTGCTTGGGACCTCCTTCTCAGCTGCCGGTCCAGCCCGACTGCAGGGCAGGTGTTGTGGAGGCCTCTCCCATCACAAAAGTGAATTGAAATGAACACAAGATTTCCTGGAGGAAATCAGGGCCAAGCCTTTCTGTGCAGTGATGCGTGATCTGTGTTTTCTGGCAGGCCGGTGTCGAGCAGTTCTCGAGCCTCTTCCTGATCATGTGAGTCTGCTGTGTTCCTTAACTGTCAGTTTCTGATCTTTACAAAGTAAGTGCTGTTGTTTGGGCTTCTTTTTATGTAACCTGATGAATTTAAAAGGAAGAAACAATTCTTCCAAGTGGCATTCTCTCCTGGTATGGAAAGTCGTATTTCAGTGTTCCAATTCTCATGGTCATTGCTAAAGCAGACAGAGATGAAAAATAGTAATACACAGTGCTGGTGAGTGTGTTCTGAGACAGGCCCTTTACAACGTTCATGGTGAAATTTTAAATCGGAACAAACTTTTTGAAAGGTAATTTCATGACAATGTTCACTTAATAATATAAAAATATCCTGGTGGGTTTTTTTGTTTTATTTTGTTTTGTTCCTAGAACTCCATGTTTGAGAGCTAAAAAGAAAGAAAGCAGCATACATTTCAGAACACCATGTCACCAAACTTACCAATACTTTGTGACATAGCTTATATAGGGGCATATGGAAACCACACTAAACATTTGATAATATAAAAATTGTTGGACACTTGAGCATTTTGTGAAGCTACTGGAATCACTGGCCAGAATTTCAGCAACTAACAGAAAAGATTAAAAATTATAACATTAACTCAAATATCCAATATTATAAAAATTATGTTAAATTACATATTCATATAATTCACATATTTTATGTAGCTATAAATGATATCTGAAAAATTGGCTCGTTGTTATTTGATGCATGCCTTTAAATGTTTAATTAAAGCTAAGGACCTTTACCCACATACACACACACACACACACACACACACACACACACACACACACACATGACTACGCACAAATTTGTTCTGACATAAGTGGCTCATGAGTAAAGAATATCAGACCTGAAGTTAGGAACTTGTGCGAGAGACATGTAATGGACAGTGAGTGAGACAGGTGCCATATCTAAGCCAAGCCCCGTCAGTAAATAGAAAGTCGTGCTGCCTGTAGCCACGCCTGTAGCCAGATGTCAGTACACATCTCTTGGTGCCATCATCCTGCTTCCTGCCACCTCTTGCCCTCATGAATACTAGCCAAAGGACGAAATGACAAAGTGACAGGGAACACTGCCCTTTAGCAGTGTCCCCAAGAGCCCCCTGTCTGCACTCCTTCCCCAAACTCACTTCCAGATGTGACTGCACTGAGTGGGTCAGAAACCCCCTGCGTTCACTCATGGTTCCACTAAGCTAAGAGCACTTGGCTCTGCTTCACTCCAGGCATCAACCAGAGAGAGGCCATCTAATGTCCTGGGCCCTCTCATGGGACAGATGCCAAGAATCTTTCTGTGTCCACTCAGCCTCCTACCAAATAAGCCAGGTTAATCACCTCCAGCTGCCATCGGAGAAATGAAGCAGCCTCCCTGGTCAGAATGTGACCTCTACCACTTAGGCCTAGGACATAGTGGCAACACACCCATGCTGTCACCAATACTCTCCCAACCAAAATGTCCCATCTTAATCCAGTCTATCTCTGAAGGCCCGACAAGAGGGCCAATTTCATGGTGGTTATGCCTAGACTCTAATGGCACCATGTGGCTCTATACCTAGTCATTTAGTCCCCTCTCCTGTGGGTGAGCAGGTTCTGGTCTTCCACCTGCTCCGGTTTGAGCAGCACAGGGTCTGTTAATCCTGATCTGGATAACTAGCCTGAGTCCTCAGCTCACCCGCTTCCTGACTGGGCTTTCTTCACAGAGCACTGCTGGGGATGCGGACTAGAACACTGAAAGATAAAACTGCTGACTCAGCCTGTCTTCCAGTTTTTCTGTGGAGAACACGGCTCCCTAAACCATGCTCTGTACCCTTGCTCTAACCCAGATGGGAGCCCAGAAACTTCCCCAGGTGGGCCTGGCAGGTCTCTCCTGCCCCATTGCCTTAGAAACTGGGCTCCCCAGGGACACCTCCCTAGCTTTTCAGACAGGACAGAAAATCTGCCCACCAGGGTGCTCCTCCCCCATCTTCAACATTCTACACTGCCAGTCAGAGCAGTGGCAGAAACCTTGACTGACGGGGCTTTTGCGCATGAGTAGTCTTACTTCCGCACCCCCACTGATAAACATGTATAGCTGTAATTAATGACTCTACTCACCCATAGGAGTATAAGTCTGGCCATATAACCCAAAAGTAAATTAAACCGAACCCTAATAACTAGACATATTACAACATAAATATTTTAAATCACACCCTTAGGAATAATTATATCCCCAGCCTTATTAAAATCTATGACTTTATTTACGAATCATATATTAGGAATCTACTATAGAAAGCTACAAATACAGTCAAGGCTATTAAGCAACAACTTCAACTTTACACTGTTTTTATTTATTTTTTAACCCTTGACTATAAACTGTTAAGAGTTCAAAAAGGAGTTCTAGGGCTGCCCAGTCCCTGGAGCAGAATCCCCTCTACAGAGTTAGGATCCATGCCCAGGCTAACACTGTCCATCCACCATTGTGCTAACTCCTCAGAAGTCTTCCTATGGAATGTCCTGTACTCTCTGCCTTTCATCTTGAGATATAAAACCATTTTCAATTCAGGTGCTGGTCAGGTGGAGGTGTTGGAGGGATTCAGCCCACCTACAACCTGTGTGGCTTTGGGAAGTCACGAATGTCAGTCTACATGTGCAAAATGAAGATACAATTTCCTCATTTGAGGCACCATCCACATGAAAACAGATGTCTCTATGTCCTGGAGTTTCCTGGCATCACATGGTGGCCCTTAGACCTTTCAGATAGTCACCATTTACAGATGTAACTCCAACATCCTACCTGGATTTCTCCCTTAGGTGCAAATGGAGTCTAGCATCATCTCTAGGTAAAGATGGGCATTCTGAGAGTAAAAGTGACTCCTGGCAGCTCTACATGACAATTGCCAGGTTCTGGCTTATACAGAGCAGCTATGGCTGTAGACCTAACCTAAAGTCACTCACTCAGGAATGGCTGCGGCACCTCAATGAGAATTTATCTGCTGTGAACTGATCCCCTTTCCTGCCATCCCCAGACTTCAGCCCCAGACCTGTGTAAGCCAGCTTAGCCTAGCAAAATGCCACCATGGTCTAGGTGGCTTGAATCCAGATCATTGCCATTATTTTACCTCAGCCCTGAAAACCAGAAGTCCAAAGTCAAGGTGCCAAAGGGTTGGTAAGGACAGTCTGTTCCCCTATGCAGATGACAGGAGGCATCTCCTGTGTCCTTCCCCTGGTACATGGACATGATGAGGGGAGGGGTCACGGAAATTTGGGCATCCTCTTGTCAGTTTTTATAAAAAGTTCCGTCAATTTACTGAGAAATGCAGCTTGGATTTTTATATGAATCCTACTGAATTTGTATATCAGGGTTTTTTTTTTATTTAAGTTAGAAACAAGCTTGTTTCACATGTCAATCCCAGCTCCCTCTCCTTCCCCTCCTCCCCCACCCTCCCCACCAGGTCACCCAGTCCCCCACCGAATCTCTACTCCAATCCCCAGGAAGGGTGAGGCCCTCCAAGGTGGATCTCCAGAGTCTGTCATTTCATCCAGGGCAGGGCCTAGGCTGAGTCCCGGCTGAGAGAGCATTCCATATTGTGGCATGGGCACTCAAAGTCTATTTGTAAGAATTCTATTTTAGCAAGATTAAGTCCTCAGCTCACGAACAGTGAGCCTCTTCACATTCATTAAGGCCTTTTTCCATGATCTTCAGCAGTATATGCCTTCAGGTTTTTAGCACAAGCTTCACTTCTGTGGCCCAGTGTACTCAAGGGTTAAATTCTTCTCGATATTTTGCTGCTGTTCTTTCCTTTTATTTTCGGATTGCTACCTGTAATTTGCAGAAAAGCTAATTGTTGTTACCATTGCGTGTAAACAAACTGAACTGTGGATGGGACCGACCATGTATCCTGACACCTCGCTGAACTTTCGATTAGCTCTAAGCTGTGCTGGTTCTCAGGGGTTCTTGATTTTCCACATGTAGCATCAATACACAGACAGTCTCCCTTTTCCATTGCTGGGACTCCTGAAAACATTGGGCCCACCCAGATAATCCAGAATCCTCTGTGTTTTAAAATCAATTCATTAACAAATGTATACCTGCCCTATCCCCTCACAGCAGGGCAAAATTGGTCTTTGATTGAATGATCAAAGAGATGAGGATATCCGGAAGACACCTTTAGAATTCTATCTCAAGAATTACATGTCTATGTAAGATCTTAGATCCCAGAATCTTAACACCCACTGCATAAGAGTCATCATCACTCCCTAAGCCAGCACTGAGACATGCCACCTTTATCCATATGGTCCCTCCCTTTGACTCACTCCTGTGTTCCATCCACTTAGAGAAGGAACTTGGCTGCAGCCGTGGATGGAGAGAAATGCCACAGTGACGATGACTATGAAGACCCTGAGCTCCAGCTGCTAAAGGCATGGCCGTCGATGAAAATTTTACCAGCCAGACCTATACAGGAATCAGAATATGCAGGTACCTGGGGGGTCTAAAGAAGCATGCCCCACAGTGATTACAGGTTCACACTGCAGAACTCAGATTTTTGTCTGAACACAGGCTTCCCAAAAGAACTAGCCCCAGACAGTTCCTCTGAAGTTATATAAGTAACGTGTGGGGTCAAATTCTGTTCTCGCTTTCTGTCGTTGTCAGGGCAGGGTCTGCTTGAGCCTTAGACCTGTCCCCATGGTGGGAGAATGGGAGAAGTGGTCAGGCAGGAAGACAGGCACGTGAGGCCTGTGAGGTTAGCCTGCATGGTGGGGGACAGCAGAGAGAGATGGCTGATTCGCTCTGCGGGCTGCCAGCTTACAAACGGACCCAGTAGTAACAGCCCACTCATCGGAAAGGAAGGAGGCTGGCTTTTCCACATAAGGCAGTGTCAACAGGTTCTCTGTGTCCCTGTCCAGGGAAGGAGGAAGCACACCTGATTTCTGAGGGCCTGGATCACAGACATAAATCTGTAGAAATTTCTTTGGGGAGAATTGTCTTATACGTGGTGAACAGATAAGATGACACACACCCTTCACACACACACACCCCTGCACTTCAGAGGCTGAGGGTAGGAGGATTCCAACCAAGTTCAAGGCCTACTTGAGCTGCATGGTGAGACCTTGACTCCAAACAACAACAAAAATAATAATGATAATTATCACCTTGTGTTTAGTACTCAAAAGCATTGACTGATTATCTACATTGTGCTGTCATCGTTCTAGAATTTATCAAGTGATAAATAAATAACAGGGAAATGCTATAAGAGCATACCAGAGGAAAGTGGTGGATGGCGTTGGGTGATGGGCTCCAGGGGAAGATACAGCAGCTCATGTCTGTAGTTGCACCCAGGAGGCCAAGACTAGAGAATGGCTGCAAATTTAAGGCCAACCTGATCTATATAATGAGTTTCAGGCCAACCTGAACCAGAGTATGAGACCCTGACTAAAACAAAACTAATAAATAAATAAATGAATGAATAAATACATAAACAGAAAGGAAAAAACTAAAGTAGGTGGCATAGCATAAATCTTCAAGAACTGGTAGTATTTCTCAGGTGGATAAACAATGAACTGTAGTCAAAGCCTCTCTGAGAGTGTTTTTTGTTTGTTTGTTTGTTTTATTGTTGTTGTGTTTTGTTTTTCTTTCACAGTGATCTCTCTAGTCACTCTATACACTAGAGGGTGTTTTCTTCCCACATTAGTCCCCTTGAGTCATTGTCCACTCTTACCCTTTTTTTCTTTTCCTTTTTCTTTTCTTTTTTTTTTTGGCTTTTTTTTTTTTTTTTTTTTTTTGGCTTTTTGAGAAGGGTTTCTCTGTGTAACAGCCCTCGATATCCTGGAACTAGTTCTGTAGATGCTGGCCTCAAACTCACAGAGATCCACCTACCTCTGCCACCCAAGTACTGGGATTAAAGGCATGTGCCATCACCACCCAGCCCACCCTTACTCCTATAAGTTCCATGTGATATGCTGTAATAAACTTTGCCTGTCTTCCACCCTTCTCCCCGAACTCTGTCCCCCAGAAAGGAATTGCTTGCCTAGTACCTGCACTGGGATGACTCCATGAGTATGAGCATGTGTGAATACTCCACAAACTGCAATGTGCCTAATCTAGCCAGTTCATGAGGCACAAGCTTACCAACTTTCTTTTTCCACAGATACACGCTATTTCAAGGATCTGATGGAGGCTCCCCTTCTGTTACCTCCCAAGGCTTCTGGCCCCACTGGGAAGCAAACCCAGAATGGAGGGATGAGGCGACAGGAAGAAGTGAGTAAAAGGGGACCCCGAGGACCTGGCAGGAGACAGGCACTACCTAGCTCACAGAGATCTGCCCCAGATCTCCTTCCACACAGCAGCATGACAGATGATGAGCAGATCAGGGCAGGCGTCGGGAAGCTGAACAGTGTGACTTATGGGATCGTGGGTCTTTGGAGGAGTCTAGAAGGAAATAAAAGCTACTTTTGCTGAAGACTGACTGTGAGCCAGGCAATAGGCTACAGAATTTCTGTCTTCTTTTTTTTTTTCTTTTTTCTTTTTTTTTTTTTTTTTTTGGTTTTTCAAGACAAGGTTTCTCTGTATTGTTTTGGAGGCTGTCCTAGAACTCACTTTGTAGACCAGGCTGGCCTCGAACCCACAGAGATCCGCCTGCCTCTGCCTCCCGAGTGCTGGGATTAAAGGCATGTGCCAGCAATGCCCGGCTCAGAATTTCTGTCTTCTACAGTTATCATTGCACTCTTCAGATCCTGAGTTAGAACACAAATCTTTTTGATAATAACACATCATTTTGCCAAGATTCTCAGCCCAGCACTGTCAACTGTTAAACTGGGCGGTGAGAAGTCTCATGCCCTTCTGAACCTCTGTAATCCCTTTACAAACCAGATAGGAATTCTACATGCTGGCCCAAAAGGACATCTAGAGGAATAGCAGATAACTTTATGAAAATAAATTTGTGGAAATTAAATGAAAATACACTAGATACATATGCAGGTTTTTATTTTTAAGAAAAATATATAATGATCAACACTATTAATATAGATGTACATAAAATAAAGACTCACCCCAGGTCTGCATGTCACTGGTGATAATATTCTGATACATTCCAGGTCAGTATTCCCTATAGAGACAGAATCATATAAGGAATTCTTGTCACATTAAAATGTCCGGGTTCCTGTCTTTTCACACTGAGTCTAGTCACAAAATAACTTGCACTGAGTTGAGCAAATGCTCATCAGCATAAGCTGTACAGCTATGCATTTCCCCATTGTAGAATTTTGATTAATGTACTCAGCACTTGATAAGAACATTCAAAAGGCTTAAGGCACATGTAAAATCATGTCAATGTGTGCCCGTCTAGAAGCTCTACAAAACCATGTTCAATTCAAGAAAGTCTCAGCAGAACTGGACCTCACTGGTGTGATCGTGTGTTTTTATGAAAGGGGATGCCACTGTTAAAGAGTCTCTTTCACTGACACCATTCACTAGTGAACTGGAGCAATCTTTTACATGTCCCATCAGCTCTCCTGGGTGACATGTCCACCCTGCTCACAGCTTCTCTTGACATTGAGCACCCATCATCATGTCTCCTGGCCACATGACAGATTAGCTATGGGAAGGAGTAATTTATAATGTACCAAATCTATTGCCCACACTTCTGGAGTCTGGATGCCCAAGATGCAGGTGCCAGAATCAGCAAAGTTTCTCTTGCTGCTTCATGACGTGACAGAAGGGCAAAGGCAAGGGAATGAGGGAGAGGGGAAGGAAAGGAGAAAAGGGAGCCGAAGTGACCCTTCTATGAGATCCACTTGAGTTATAAAAGACCCTGTACAGACCAGGTTTGGAGCCGTGTGCCTTTAACCCCAGAAAAGCCCTGGTCCAATTACAAGGAACAGAAGGCACTTAGAAGATCTGAGATCTCCTTCCTCAAACTCCCTGACATTCCTGTACACAAATGCCTTCATTTGGAGAATATGTCTCCTAAGGAAAAATGACATTTTGCTTTTTAAAAGCTATGGCAAGCTGGATACTGTGTGACACTCCTGTAATGCCAACAATTGGGAGGTAGGAAGAGGAGGACCATTGAGGTCATCCTGGATTGTATGACAAATTTGAGGCTAGCCTGATTTACATAAGACCCCCTCTCAAAACCAACCATGGCAAGATCCTGTCTTACAGTCCACACCTCTGCATTGCCTCAGTTCTTCCTTTCCAACAGATCACTTCAAAAACAAAACTGTGAACCCATCTGTAAGTCAACTGAGATGAGTGAGGGGACAGACAAGGACAAATGGTTGGCAGGAGAGAAATTTCCTGATAAATTAAGCAAGGTCTTAGTCTCTCAGTTCAGACAATTTTACTTAAGTCTTCAGTGATTCAGTAAGGAAGTTTTCATGGCCAGTAGATTATCTTTCTCATTAACAACTTCGTTTCCAAAGGCCGCCCCCCCACCCCCGCCAAAGGCCATTTCTTACTAGTTTTGAGATTATACTATCTGTGGACTGGATCTTCAATAACCCTTCCAGAGGCCCTTTCTTATCTCCGCTCCTCCGGATGATTGCAGCTAGCTTGCCTTAAACTAGTGCTCTTCTCAGTGAGTGCTTACTGTGCACCAAGCATTGTGCTCAGCAGCGGAAGTATAGAAATGAGTCAGTGCCCATCATCTAAGGGAGGAGGCAGTGACCCAATGCTGGTCTTGATGTTTGGGAGAAGTGTGTGAAGCAATTGTTCACCCATACGACATACTGCATTGTAATTGGTAGTTCCCAACAGGAAGATTTTGCCTCCCAAAACCTTTGGCACAGACTGGAGACATTTTTAGTTGTTACAGTGGATATTGCTAAGCATTATACAAAGGAAATCACATCTCACACACACACACACCATACCACATCACAAACATACATATCAACACACTGTGCCACACACATGCTCACAAAATACACATATACACACATACCACACACAATAAACACACTGCACACACGTCAAAACATCATAACACACACATTGATACAACATACCACATCACACACAGAGATACCAACACACTGTAGCACACACACACACACAGAGAAATCATCAGAAGTCACTGACACCTCACATGGAAAGGCTTCTCTGTGGATACAATGCAGAATGTGTCTGCCTCGGGGAAAAGGGCAGGGGCCCTGAGGAAGCCCCATCCTGAAACCCTAAGCATGCGGCAGCCATGTTCAGTGGAAAGAGCCTCACCTGACGCTCTAACCAAGCAGACACTGAGGCGTGGGCAAGAGTGATGAGTGGCCGACTCATAGGGAAACTGAACAGCGAGGCTGCAGAGGGAACTTTCAAAAGCCCTCCAGCAGCTGCTCCCCAAGAAAGCCACTGAAGGAAAGCAGGGCTACAGAAAAACCCAACCAGCACTCTATCCCAACCAGGCTAAAGTTCAGAATAGGGGCCCTGGTCTTCCCAAGGCCTGGGGCTCAGAGTTCACAGAAGAGATTCAGACCCCCTCAGGAACCTTGCTCAACACAATCAGCACTAGATAAGACAAAACTAAGGTCCAGTGAAAGCTGGACAGCAAGACCTTCCAAGGCCTTGGCATGTCAGTACCAGCCACATCATCGTCTTCATCCCTCATGTCTTCTAATCCATTGCCATTAACAGTTCACTGCATGCCCAGTGCCCAGTGATGACATTATTATTGTTCTGTGTCATAGTGATGCCTCACATTCTGGATGCATTACCCATTGTGTCTTACATTATTACACACACACACACACACACACACACACACACACACACACACACACACACACCATCCTCACAATGATGCAGCATTTTTTTAAACTCCATTCCACAGAAAGAAAATCATGGAGCTGAGTGACTCACAATACCCTCATAACTGTCATGTGATAGAGACAAGGTGATATTATCTGAACTGTCATTAAAGGTCACGCTGTGTCTACCCAATGACTTCCACACTCCTGGCCTCCATTTTAATACAGTGGCATACACTGGCTGTTTTCTCTATCATAAAGATGTAAAGTGACACCATAAAGGCCCTAGATGTCCTTCCCAAGCTTTTGTGACAAAAAGTAAAATTTCAAACTTGAGATTTTATGCCAAACAGCAGTCCAGTCACCACATATTTGCAGATATTCAGCCAATGCCAATCACATGCATACAGCAGTCTCTAAGAACAGTAAGCCCAGGGATGTATGCATTTATGCTGGGGTCTCTAGCCACATGGAGTAGCTGGACACATGGTTGTGGCATGATCAATGTGAGCTGATGGTGTCACATTATCTCTTACAGGCCTTTTATAGGGACAAGCCCATCTCCAAGGATGTCAGAAGCCAACACTATCAAGGTAAAGTTCCAAGAGTTTAAAATCCCATGGAGTATCTCCCCTGTTCCCATGGTCCTTTGCCCTGCTTGTGGTCCCGGGCCCCCATACACCAGCTCTGCTGAATGACACTGAGAAATGACTGTCCCATTCTCCTATCATGCATGCCTCCCAACTCTTTTACAGCCTTACCTTATTGACAAAGAAACTGATTGGGAAAACTCATATTCTGTCCTACATCATCCGAGAAAGGCGCTGTTTCAAAACATATGGATTGCATTCAAATAAGTCATTTCTAAAAGCACATGCCCTGGAAAAGAAAATCACAAGATAGGAATCTAATTTTAAAATGTTGATTAATGAATATGAAAATGGGCTTTAGAGCTTGAGGCAAAACAACTCAATTTGAAGACAGAAGCACAGGTACAAGGCTGAAAGGAAGTAATCAATTCCATTGATGCTGGAAGCACAAACTAAGGGCAGCCGGGGAAATTCAGCTGGATCGTGTCTATTACAGGTCTCATCATTTTCCTGTCTTATCATTTTCCCCTGGCCCCATTGCTTCTTATGATGTCCAGTGGAAAGATGTCGGTCCTGTGATTTACAGTCCCCAGTAACTGAAGCCCACCAACTTCACCATTCATGTGTTTAATGATGAATCCCAAAGTGTCTTACATGCATCGTGTTTAATAAAGAAGTGTAGAACTACAGGCCCCAATAGGAGATGATAATGAGCACAAAGTAAGGTCATTTTTTAAAGTTTACTTACAGAGGAACTATTTACTGGGCACAGGGAAAGAACCAAGAATCCTGGTGTAGATCCAGGGCTGACATGACCAGGGCTGTGGGATCCCCACCCTAGGCCCAGAGAGATGCGGAGGAGCTACTGAAAGCCACAGGGGCAAGGTGGTGGTTGGGAGACCTCCCAGGGAGGGAGCTGTGTTAGTGTCTCATCCTACAACAAAAATCTCTAAGAAAGTCAACTTCAAAGGAGCAGAAGTTGCTGTTGCTCAGTTTCAGAGATCTTGGGCCACAGCTGGGTGACTGCTGCTTTGGAGCAGGGGTAAGCAGAGCATCAAGTGGACAGAGAATGTCAGAGAACAATCTCATGATCTGAGGATGGTTTGGGAAGCAAGGAGAAAAGAAGGGACCGAAGTGCCAATATATCCCCTATAAAAGGCAGGCTCCCAATGATCTAACTTCCTCCTCTAATTCCTTTCTTCTTCCTAAGGTCCCCAGAACTCCCCAATAGTGTCACTGCTGACAGAAGACTCTACCCATAAGTCTTTGATGGACATTTAATATAGAAAGGATATAAACCATGATGGGAATCAGGGAGGCAAATGCTCGGCCTCCCTCTGAAACCCTGTCTGGCTTCTCAGCACAGTCCACACAGGGCCACAATGCTGATGACAGAGGGAAGGAAGAAAAAGAAAGGAGGCAGGGTGAGCAGAGCAAGGGCAGCAACCTGGGCTCAGCCTCTGGCTGCCATGGGCTCAGCCTCTGGCTGCCATGAGGCCTTCAGCAAGGTCTGAGCATCCTGAGGAGAGCATATCTCTCCCAGATCTGCATCCGGCAGGCCTGATGCCCACTCACTCCAACTGCAGCTGCCTGGAAGACCCAATCACACATGGGCAGGGAGGGTTCTAATACCTCAGGAAGGGTTTGAATTCCCCAGTCCACAGCTCACCAGCTTAGCCTCACAGGCTCCTGTCTGACTGCATCGATCTCCTGAACCCCAGTGTGACACAGAGAAGCAGTCTTCTCGATGCTTTTTAGGTCCTTTAAAAACAGCTTCTCTGTCCACTCAACTACAGCTCCATTCTATTAACCTATTTGCTTCCATTCTTAAAAACACTAAAGTGTATTGTGCAAAAGCCTTTTCACTTCTCCTGACAGAGACAGGGAACGGAAGCCCAAGGGCTCACAGGCCAGGCCTCATTCAATATGCACAATTCTTCAGTGACAATGGCACACTTGACTCCTGTAATGAGAAATGAGTCCTGAGACAAGAAGCAGCAGAGCAGTCTCAGTGGCTGCTGTCCATCTCTCTGGACATGTCACTCCCTTACATTTCATCAGTTCATAAGATCTGGAAAGGAAAAGAAAGCCTTGAACAAGAAAATAGAGAAGGAAAGATACAACCCTAGGGAAAATAGAAATGATCTCAGTTTGCCTCTGAGCTTCTTGGTAGTTCTCTTATGGAATATTAGTTTCCCATAACAAAATAGTAGACCAAGTCCTCAGTGAAGGAGTATGGGTGTACTGCTCAGGATGTACTGACACTATCTGTTTTATAGAGGATGCTGGCTGATGTCATGGTGTGGTGGTTTGAATGACATGTCCTCCATGGTCTTGGACATTTGACTACTAGGTCCCCATCTGGTGGCACTGTTTGAATAGGTTTAGGAGATGTGACCTTGCTGGAGAAAGTATGGCAGGCTTCAACCATTTTAAGACTCATAACATAAGTCCTCCCCGCTTTTCTCCTTTTTTCTCTTTCTCCCTCCCTCGCTCCTTCCCCTGCCTCCCTCTGCTTTGTGCATGTGGCTCAAGATGTCAGCTCTCAACTTACTGCTCCAGACATACTATGCCTACCACTCTCCCACCATGATGAACTCTAAACTTTCTGGAGCATAAGTCCAAATATGCCCTTCCTCCAATAAGCTGCCTTGGTAGTGGTGTTTTATTACAGCAACGAAGATACCCTGACTACAAAGATCCAACTGCTTTTTAAAGTGAGCCCTCAGTATCATTTAAGGCCATTACTGGAGGCAGTAACTCAAGGACATCAAGGCTCACTGAAGGCAGGCGAGGATTGGGGGAAGCTTCTTCCATGACAGTTACTGTCTGACCACAGTTGCTCCCCATACTTCTAGAACTGATGGACCTCCAGCATCAGCCTGGACACTCAGGTACAACAGACAGAAAGGAGGAAATGAATACAGACACTCCCGCTTTTAGGATCAGGCACCCAGAGGGAAAGTGCTAGGATGATTTTTGTACTCATTACAAAATTCTGTACTTTTGATGCAAACACATATTCTAGGATAACTTATTTATCCTCACAAAATGTCACAGGAAAAAGAAACTACACCTATTGATTCAGAAACAGTGAGATTTTATGGTGACTTTTTCATCAAGATGAGCAGTTACAGTTTCATGTAAATGTATGTCTCCTGTCATTTTTCCTCCAATCATTACCTGGAAAGCATCAAATTTTGAGACCTTATCTTCCCTAAAGGTGGAGGGTTTTTTTCCACTCCTGGAAATGGCCAGAAGTTTTATTTGGAGGTAAAGTTGTTACTGTACAAAATATGTGTGATGAACCACCAGCAAAAAGCACAGATCCGGAGGACACCTCATTTCCAAGGAGAGTTGTAACTTTCCAATAAACAAGGCTTAGCTTTCTGGGAGAGGCGAAGCCGAGAACACCAGCAGCTCAAATGTACATCTCCTCGCCTGGGATGCAAACTAAGCTCAAACTATAAACCAATTTTCTTTGAAGTGACATGCATACTCTATTCAGGAATCACTTTATAAAGAAATACAATAAACCACCCAAGAAAAAGAATTACGCTCAGGCAGCTGAACGGGTAAATTCAGAAATACAAGCATGGCTGGTTGAAAGCAACAAACCGGATTCTACAAGGTGCCTCCAGAGGGACCATGTGAATTCAGATGCTGAAGCAATCAGAGGTCACTTTGGAGTTAATCTGGCTCAAGGCCCTAGTGGTTTATGCTCAGGTGCAGCTCAAAGTCAGCCAGCAAGTAATCAGAGCCTAGATCCTTGCAGCGTTCGCCAGCTGCAGATGCTCCCTGGGTCTAAGGACACTGACCAGTGTTGGCAGTCAGTCTCCTCCAAACTGTTCATTCCAAGGGGAGAACAGGTGGGAGGTACTGCCCCCTAGCAGCTGCAGGTGGCAACACAGGACACAGTGGAAATGCATGTGCATGCTTAAACATAATAAACCTTAGCTCACACATGGGTAATAGAAATGAAAGACTGACTGGTGTTTGTGTTGGATTTAAATTTATTTCAGCTACAACCCACGGTCCAAAATCAACACAGGTATTGGTTCCATGCTGGATTTAAAACCAGTGCTTTAAAGTAAGCCTCACTCTTAAATGGGGCTTTAAGAAATGCATTTCTTAAGCTAGCAAAGAAACGGTTTTAATTATGGTACTTTCACGCACATGTGTCATTATAGTTGGTTCTAATTATCCCCCTCCCCCAAGTCCCTTTCCTTCCATTCCAGCCAGAGGATGGATTTCTGAAAAGGAGGAAGCATCCACATTGATGACACCAGCTGTGCCAGGAGGGATCTACTTCCAAACTCACTGTGGGCCAAGGTTCTACATGCCGGATAGCCATACAGGACCACTGGAGTTCATAGTGTGTTGAGTTCTGTACTAGGAGTTGAGGTAACTAAGAAAATCACACTAATGCCCACTGGGAGAAGCCATGTGTCTCCCAGGAAAGATTCAGGAGCAAGTGGCATGGAACTGCGATGTGGGACAATGAACTTGGGGAAAGAAAACAGCATTTTTGATGCTTAGAATCCACAGTGTGGCTGGCTGGATGTTAGGACAGACGATCCTGCATTCAAATCCTGACTGTACTCCTCCCCACTAGAAGACCTAAAAGTAACCCGGGAACCTAGGCTGAATTACTCACATCAACAATACTACACGACAAGGCATTTGAGGAAGGCTTCAGAGGAAACAACCAATAGGAAACCCACGTCACAGTGATGATGAGGACCCTCCTGTGCTGATCTGCACCAGCCATCCCAATCCCTGCCCCCTTATTTCATTCCCTGACTCCTTCTGCAGGCTAAAACCATCTCCTATCTAGCTAGTTTGGTTTTTAGCATGCAAGTAGATCTGTTGTGCATGAATTGATGAAAAAGTGAGTCAGAAGCCTCAGTCACAGAGAATATGGTTCATGACTTATCATTTCTCCACAGCAAACATGTGGCACCATGCTGAACACATGGTGGACATGTGGAAAATATTTTTGGGATTCCTTCTGTGACTTTGCCCCAACAGTATATAGATAAGTATCATCATCCTGACTAGTGTCACAGGACCACCCAGGGATGATCCAGTACCTTTAGGTAGGGGCCAGCAAAGTGGCAACTCGAGATGTTCTGGTAACTTCTGGCCCCATTTCTGTCTGTGCTTTCAAATTCAGCTGCATCTTGTTCCTTTACTGGACCCTCATATCTCAGCTGTGGAAACAGAATTCCTTGTTCTCTAGACTTCTGTGAATCCACACCACCCCTGCCTGGTCTCTGTCCATCACTTTACCCTGCCTGCCCACTCTTCATCCAGACACACCCAAGGCACCAGGAAGCAACTCCCTCCGGGCTTGGGCTGGAAGAATTGTTCCATCTCACCTTCCTCACTGGTCCCAATGTGAAAGCTGTTGAAACATGCGTTCCTAAACGTGGTACCTTCTGATTTTATCCAAGGGGAAGTAAGGGACAGTAGGTTCCTGCAACAACCTTGGCTTTGCCTAGTACAATCCCTTCCCACTGCTTCCCCAAGGATGGCTCCAGTAATTTATTGCTGCAATTAATTTCTGAAGTTTATGATGGACTTCAAGATGCTTCTCCAGCAGGTCCTGCCAAGTGGACATTACTAACCACTGGGATTATTTAAGTCGCTTTTCTGGACTCCTCTATAATTAATCATCAAGACACAAAATGTTAATGGTCATAACAGTCTTAGACACGATAAATTTTGTGACTGAGGCCAAGTTTTATCTATTTTTCTTCCAAGTCCATTTCTGTAATTATAGAAAATGACATGGACACTCTGTTTCTGGGAGTGTTTGCATGCATACACTTCAGGGGTAACTAGTGCCGCTTTCACTCAGCACAAATTGGATGGAGGCTTACATCAGTGGTTCCCAACCTCCTAATGATTTGACTCTTTAATACAGTTCCTAATGTTGTGGTGACCCCCAAACATAAAGTTATTTCATTGACACTTCATAACTGTAATTGTGTTACTGTTATGAATTGTAATATAAATATCTAACATGCAGGTTATTTGATATGTGACCCCTGCCTGTGAAAGGGTTGTTCAACCCCAAAAGGATCAAGACCCACAGGTTGAAAACCACTGGCTTAGGTGAAAACTAAATATTATTTTATTTATTCCTAAAATCCCAAAAAATTGGATTTCATAATCTGCATCTTAACTTTAAAGTCACCAAGGCTGTTCAGTAAGTGACAGGCTTACACTCAACTCAGATGACTTCACAATCCCATTTGTGGCCACTTGGCTTTGTGTCTTCTATTAAGAGACAAAGTCTTGGCTCCTTTGAGTCTTGTTTTCTCATCTTTTAAAAATCACAGATAAGGATAGAAGAAGCCCAGAGAGGTCAAGCAATTTGTGCCAAGTCGCTCAGCTCCTTGATAATAACAGCAAAACTCAATCACAAACCTTAGGAAATGCCAAGCAGTCAGGTATCCGAAGGAGAGAATTCAAACACACATGCAAATGAGGTCACTATGTGTGTTATACACTTGTTAAGTAATAGTGAGAGATAAAATATCCCTTAGCCCAAATTCATAGGGCCAGTTGTTTTTTATTTCATTGTTTTAAAGGTCTTATGCAGCCCAGATGCCCCTGCCCTCATTCTGCAACCCTAGCTGGCCTTAAACTTAAGGTCCTGCCTCCACCTCCTGGGTGCTGGAATTACAGGCACGCACTATCACACCCAGCTCTGACTGACTTTTGCCAAGCTCTTGCATCCGCAGCTAAATCACAGCTTCCAAGGCATAATGATGTGCAACATTTCTTAGTTAAGCTGAAAATTTCTAGACCTGTGTTTCCTTAGGCACACTCCTCAGAACACAATGCCTACAAGCATTATACAACTATAAATAGGGCATCCTCAATTTACGATTTCTCTAAAACTTCCTTAAGTTCAGACAAATGACAAAAAAAATAAGACCTCTGATTCTGCAACATTTCCCTTCATGGAAATACTCCCAGCATGCCAGTGTTCATGCATGAGCATAAAATTGCAAGAGACGCCATTTCATAGCATGAAAAATAACCTCAGTGGGACATATGATAGCACACTCACAGGAAGCGATGTCTTGGTGCTCCTTATCTTTGTTTTGACATGACTTAGCACTACCATTCTATGAGCTATTTTTAACGACGTCTATACTTAACAACCAGCTTACAAAATCCTTGGGCGTTTAACAACCGGGTCTTACAGTGTGGTACAAGCCACTCCTGTGTCGCTAGATTCTTCAGGGTTTGGCCCTAAAATAGTCAAGTCCAGGTCTGTTAGCCCCCACAGCTATGCTTTGCTCTCTCCCTAACCACCTCACCAGAAACAAGACCCCTAACTAGTGATGGGAGCTCTAAATACAGAAAAGGGCAGGACCAGTCTCTTGGCAGATAATGCTGGTTACAGCACTGGCCACCAGAGGGCAGACATGTGAGTCACTGCCCAGAGAAAAGCCTCCACCTCACACTTGGAGGGGAAAATCCTCTAGACAGACCCTGTGAGTCCTCCCAGCTCTGGGGAACATCTGTGGGCTTTGTCAGGAGGGTTATCAAACATCCCCTCTCCAATCTCCCATTGCACAGTAGAAACTAAGTGTGCATTAGAAGCTATGCCTCGAAGTTTTTATTAAATAATGATTTTGAAAAACAGGAAACATGCTTTGACATGCCCTACTTCATTTATCCCATATATAAATGCTGGGGAAGTATAAGAAATCACCTATTACTAGCTGGGCGGTGGTGGCGCACGCCTTTAATCCCAGCACTCGGGAGGCAGAGGCAGGCGGATCTCTGTGAGTTCGAGGCTAGGCTGGACCGACAGCCTCCAAAATTATACAGAGAAACCCTATCTCATAAAAAAAAAGAAAAGAAAAGAAAAGAAAAAAATCACCCATTAAATCCAGGAGTTTGTTTCATTACTACTGGCAGAGCCTATAGTGAGTAATGGGAGTCAAGGCCACGTTGGAGGTGTGGTTGGGTAAGCAGAGTGCTGGGTTACCATGAACTAAGGTCCTCAGCTAGATCTGTGCTCTGCTAAAAACAAATTTTAAAGGTCAGTCTGAAAAAAATTCCACTCCAAATCTTATCTTTTTTCATCAAGGCAAATACCTGACCTGTTAGTTCTTTATTAAACAACAACCCTCCCCACAATCCCTGATGGAAAACAAAGAACTTTGTTGGATTTTAGCCACAAAAGCTGACATCCATGTGACGAGTTACTTCACCTATGTGGTCCTGTTTGCTTACCCTTAAGGTCACCCAGACCACTTACCTTGTGAAATGTTGATATCTAAACCAGTAGTGTGGGGAGGCCCCTGGCATGGGTGGTTTGTCAACATACATGTCTGCTCCCGCTGACAGAGTAAGGGGTGTCCAGGCCTTTGGTTTCTATGCCACATAGGGCAAAGAAAATTTCACTGTCTAGTGCTGCACAGGAACCCTGTGTTGAACCTGAAGCTCATGGCTTGGGAGTACAAACGTACATTTCCACTGCATAACACAGCAAGCCATCCAGAACCACACGCCTCCAAGGCCACAAACTGGATATCTGTGGTTTGCTGCTGTTGTTGATAGAATTGCTACTAAAATTTTAAGGGAGGGGAGAGAATACTAAACAATGCTAGAGAAAGACCAGCATTTTAATAGAGACACAATATACACACACCAGGTGTCAAAAAGGTCCTCCATGTTTGCCACAAAAGACCCTCACCAGCTTCCTGGAGTAAGGAATGATCCTGCAAGCATGAGTATCCCATCCAAAGTGGCATCATAAGGTGTGGGGCAGTGCCCACTACTGGTGAGAACGCAAGTTCGCACAGTCATCTGGGAAAACTATAGTATTTCCTCTAGAACCTAAAATTAGAACCTGCCTGTGACTCAGGAAGCCACTTGCAGTATCCATCGACGGCATTGAAAGGATCTCGAAGAGCTGTCTCCACTCTGAGTCTGTACAGCATTATCTACAAAGCAAACCATGTGGTCTGTCTGTACCCAGAAGCCTGGGTGAAGAGATGGTATACATATAGAGAATGGATTTTATTCAGCCCCACAAGAAGAAAAACCTACCATTTGTGACCACAGGGATGTGCCTGGAAGACATTATGCTGGGTGAAACAAGACACATTCAGATGAAACTCTACATGCTGTTACTTGGATGAACCTGAAACAACAAAACTCATAGTATCAGGAAGTGCAAGGTGGTTTCCAGGAGCAACAAGATGGATGGTGAGAGGATGATGTTCAGGAGTTCTTGAGAGTCATGCCACTCGCAGTGATGTCTGCTTCCTATGATTTTCTAGCTTGTGGGATATTGAATTTCCCTATATCTCAGACTTTTCCTTTCCATTAGCAGTGGTGGGAATGCAATAAGATTCCCAAACTAAAGTGTTCAGCATCGTGCTGGGCAACTGGTGAGATCCCAGTAAGTATCATTAAGCAATGCCATCAATCTTATTACATATACAAGTGGTTTCCATAGAAGCATATGTAAGAGTATTTGATGGTATTTTCCACGGGTTTCACTGTTTTTTCCATCTTATATTTTAGGATCCAGGTACTCAGGGGTGAACAAGGTAAGTGAGAAAAATGTCAAAATGTACTTGCTACACTATAAAGTCACAGAAATGTGGACACTGGGAAATGCAGCTTAAATGTCACTCGAACAGTATGCTCTAGAGCTTCAGCCATCATTTTTCATTTCCATTTGTGAAATCAAAACATTCTTAACCACTCATTGGTCCTGCCCAAGAACAGTGGATTTAACTCCCTGTTCTCTTTCCTTTTGCAGATTCCTGTGCCGCCTCCTCGGTAAGACATTTGAAATCACATTTATGGGACTGGAATAATGGTCCAGAGGTTAAGAGCACCAGCTGCTCTTGCAGAGGAAGCAGGTTGGATTCCCAGCAACCACATGGTGGGCCACAGCCACCTGTAACTCCAGTTCCAGGGAATCCAATGTCATCTTCAGCACTGCACACACACACACGATGCACAGACAACACACAGTCAAAACACTTGCACACATAAAATATTTTTAATGTAAACTTTTTGCCATAAACATGAATGATTTGTGCCAGCTCCTGCAAAAGAGAAGCACAAACATTTAGCCTTGGAGAAGCTGGACTGTGAACAACATCCAGGAGCCTCCATGCATTCATATCATCAGACAGCCCGACTGCTGTCAGCACACCTCCCTCCTCCATTTATCTTTCTTTCTTAGCATTGATGTTTGAAACAAGTCACTTTCTATTTTTACATTGACTTATTTGTGGTGGGTAGTGTGCACATGCGGAGGTCAGGGGACAACGTATGGGAGTTGATTCTCTATTTCCACTCTGTGGGACCTGGGGACCAAACATGGTCTTCCATGACAGCAAGTACCTTTACTGACTGAGCTATCTTACCAGCCCCAGTCAAGTTTGCATGTAGCAGGCAGACAATGTTAAACGGCTTAATAATAGCCAACAACTGTGAAGTTATCTGTCCATCCCTCAAATCCTTTTCTAGCAACAGTGTCTCTACACTTCTGTTCTTTCTTCACAGAAATACCAACATGGCATGCTCTTTTCTTTAGGGAAAAATCAGACAGAGCATGTTGTAGACACATCTAGCTTCCCGGATTCATAAGATCAGGACAGACCCAACATATAAATCAGTAAGTCAATCATCAACCAGAATTTTGAATTTCTGTAAATAAATTGACTCAAAATTTAAGGACTTACAATGTATAAATATATGCTCATGTCAGTCCACATGCTTATATATCACCTATATTAATTCTGATTATTGCTCTATTCGTACCCATACAGAGGTGAGAGCTGCAAACTGGGCCTCTGGAACTCTGAATGGGTTGGTGAATACCTTTGTTCTACTTGAGTCAATGTGTTCCTCAGTCAAGCATGTCAATCATTTCTCCCCTCACTCTTCCCTTGTGTGGAGCACCCACCAAACCACATGATGCACCTTGTGAATGAGCACACAAATGGCTGGAGAAAATGGGTGAAAACAGGCTTTTATTGACTTGCAAACATTTTCATGGATTCTTGGGGGCATCCAGTGTAGAATAAACAAGAGGTAATCATTCTCTTCTCCCCAGGCCTCCTATAGTCCATATGAGTGGCATAATTGAAAAGCATATGATACTTGTAGGAAATTGCTGAACATACTACAGAATGCCAAGCATCAGAACATACTACTCTGGAAGAGTGAGAATGCGAACACTTGAAGATGACCAGATGGTCCATAAAGCATTCTTCACACTTGAGCTTCAAATTCATAGCAGAGGAGGGAAGGGAGCCAGAGTGAACTCACTGTCTGAGAAAGGCATGACTGCAGACCTGCTCAACACTTACCCATGTGACTTTCCACAGGCCTGCCATCACCCTCCCCAAGAAGTATCAGCCCTTACCTCCAGTACCACCAGAGATCAGTGCATACTTCCCTCCGAGACATGCCTTTCCAGAAGTCCAGAAGGGGCTCAGGTAAGACACTTGTCACTGTTGCAGTGAAATGATCAATAGAAGTGGTAGCTAGTGGGGAGGAAATGAGAGATAAGTGAAACAAACAGATCCCCCTCTGTGAATTCCACATCACTGTGGGGGGCAGAGGGGAGCAGGGAGAGCTACTGCTTGTAATGTGTATCCTTTCCTGCCAGCTGCCGGGGTCCTGCCGCTGTCTCTGCCCCCAAATAACACACAAGACACTATATTAATTATAAAGCTGTTGGCCATTTGCTACGGTTTCTTAATGGCTAGCTCTGACTTAATTATTAACCCATAATTACTAATATATATTTTATTATGTCTTATCTTACCGAGGATGCAGCCTCATGCATCCTCTCTTCCCAGAGTTACATGGTGACTCTACTCTTGACTACATTTCCCAGAATCCTCCTCGACTCCTAGTCCTAACTATCTTGCTTCCCTATTGGCCAGCAATGCTTTATTTATCAACCAATCAGACAAACATATACACAGAAGGACTTCCCCCATCAATGTCTACAGGGAAAATAGACTTAGGAACATACGTCTGACTCTTCACCGAAAACACAGAAATGTACAAAAATATAAGTCACTGACAGAACTGCTCTCTTAAGACCTGAACTGTTCATCTCAGAAAATAGGAAATGCCAGAAGGAAAGGAAGACTGAAAGGGGATCTAGAAAACTCCAGAAGCAATCCAGGACATCCCCCTTGCAAACTTCCAGACACATAGCCTAGAGGACATACTCAAGCTTAAACACCCTTCTGCCAAAAACATCATTGCCTTGCTGACAAACAGATCTGTCAGCCTTCCACCAGCAAGGGGAGTGTAGCAGCTGATACTAATCACAAATGTATAGGGAATGTTCCTTCAAGGCAGTGGATTTTCAAGAGTCCCTTATTTTAGAAGGGAGGATGGAGTGTGCCTCTCCTTCCTCTGGCTAAGGATAAATGAGGATTTCTCATGGAAAGCTTGGGTCAGCATACTGCTAGGTAGAATGGTTCCTTAGGAATACTGAAATTCAAGTCATTTTGAGCATCTGTGAAAAACAGTCTTGTGTCTAGTTGTGATAGCGATAATAGATGACTACAATTCTGATTCTTCCCCTTATCCTTGACTGTCCCCTTGTCTTGTTTTTCCTTTATAGACCCATACAAACACCTCAAAGATGCACCCTCTCTTATCTGTCCTCGTGTCCCTTAGCCTAGCTCCTGGGAAAGAACACAGATCTGAACTGTAACTCCCAAATCCATGGTAGAGATTCTGTTTCTTCTGACACAGCACTGTTTTGTATAAGCTTGGGTAGTAAGAGTCTGGATGGAGGAAGTGGGGTGCTGTCAGGCAGGCATTGAAGGTTACAAGTTTCAGACAGCTGTTCTCAACAGTAGGTGACTTTAACCTTGCTCTGAATGAGGAAAGTCTGTGATATCTGGAGAAACTTGGAGTTGTGATCACTTGGAGGAGGCAGGGAGGCTGCATGGCATCCCACAGTGGGATAGCAGAGCCCATCATGAAGGGCAATGGATCATGCCTTAGGATGTCCAGCAACATACTATGTAGACCTTCCCTAAAGCCAATGATAGATAATTAAAAGGTACTGTGTTGCTTCCCACACACCCCACAGGCTAATGTGAGAAATGGCTCCCATGAAGTACTCAATAGCACAGATTAAAGTTATGGGTGTGAATCACAACATGGAATAGTGTTGCTGGAGGTTTTTTGTCCCACCAGGTCCCACTGCCACTTCAGCCGCAAATAAACACACGAATGCTATATTAATTATAAAACTGTTGGCGATGGCTAGGGCTTCTTACTGGTTTGCTCTGTCTTAATTATTAACCCATTTCTATTAATCTAAGTATTTCCACATGGTCTTATCTTATCAGAGGAGGGTCCGGACCTGCCACTCCTTCCTCCCCTCCATGCCCTCTCCTCGCGATCTCTCTCTGCCTACCTTTCCCAGAATTCTCCTCATCTCCTGGCCCCACCTATCTTCCTGTCTCTATTGGCCAAACAGTGTTTTATTCATCAACCAATAAGAGAAGCACATATATAGAAGGAGATCCCCCATCAGAATAGATTTTAGTTTAATCTGTCTGGCCTTGGCATTCTCTCTTCCTATAGTATACCAAGATTCTAGCCAGGCTCATCCAATCCCAAAGGAGAGATTAACCTGTTTCAGGGTCCACATTTCTTGGCACAGTGCCTGATATGGACAGTGATAGATGTTGACTAAGTAAGGAGTTTAGAAGTTGCATCAGCTTCAAAAGACATTCATTGTATCAGCTACGTTTCTGTTGCTGTGATGAACCATCAGGACCAAAAAAGACTGTTTTTTTTTCAACTGTTGTATTTTTTGAGATCATAATATTATTGTATCACTTGTCATTTTGCCTTCCCTTTTCCTCCCTCCAAACCCTCTCATGTATCACTCTGTGCTCTCTGTCAAATGCATGACTTACTTTTTTATTAACTGTTGTTACATTCATATGTGCATATATATATGTGTATATATATATATGTATACATATATAAAACCTGCTGAGTCTGTATAACGTTACTTGCACGTACATTTTTGGGGGCTGACCATTTGTTTTTGGATAACCAATTGCCGCGATCTTCACTGAGGAAGACTGTTTCTCCCATTCTCAGAAGTTCTTAGTTTCCTATAGTTCTTTGGGTAGGGTTGAAGTCACCTGACCACCTCCTCCACTCTGTCATATCTATTGTTATTCTTATTCAGATTATCCTTAGGAAGTCATGATGGTGGGACTTTATGGGTATAACTTCTGATATTCCTAGGAGACACAACCTCACAGCAAACTCCCTGATTCTCTAGCTCTTAGTCTTTTTATCCCTTCTTCTTCAGTGTTCCTGTGCCTTACAAGAGGGGTTTTGTTTGTTTGTTTGCTTGCTTTTTTGGTTTTTTTGTTTGGTTGGTTTTGGGGTTTTTTTTAAGATGTATTTGCTGGGACTGGGCTTCACAACTCTACATTGGTTGTAGTTTTCTGTAATGGTCTCTGTTGCAATGAGATATTTCCTTGGTAAAGGGTTAGGACTACATGTATCTGTGGGTATAAGGACAAATGTTTGGAATGCAGTTAGGGATTGTGATGATTTAGTAAGATGGCAGCAGTAGGTTTTCCTCCAGGATCAATTACTTCACTAGTCCTGGGTAGTTAACTAGGTTTCTAGTGCCAGATATAACATCCCTGTTGTTTTAAGTCCAATTATACAAGATATGTGCACCCTTAGGGTTATTATGCCATGATGGTCATTGATGTGGCTCACAGGTATCATAGCTGGGTAGGACTGTTGGTTGCTTCCCTTTTGGAAGCTTGCACGGCGCCTTCTGATCCCATAAAAGCTAGTCCTCAGAGAGGAGGCATTCAGATCAGTTGCAGCTCAAGAGCCTCTGGGCTATGCATCTGAAGTGCATGGTGTCTTCAGCAGCAGGAACTCCCTTCCACCTCTGAGGGCTAACCAAGGCAACAACCTCTAATATTGCAGGAGCCTCTTGGACATCCCTGACCAATAACTCAAAAGACAGTTTCTCACACCCCGTGCTGGGGTTTTTATTAGATGGTTGTTGGCTCTCGGAGGGAGCACTGCCATCCCAGAATTTGATTTAAACTATATGTGAATTTTTATATGCTGACTTACATGCATTATAGGTATTTGGGGGTAGATAGTTAATAGTATTAACCCTTACTACTTTTTCAGATATCTTTACTGTTGTTTTACCTTTCTCCCTCCTTCCTGCTCTGGTTCTCAATGTCTGGGATAGTGCCCTTGATTTCTGCAGCTGGGCCTGACAGTCTCTGTGCTGACGGGCATTGGTCACAGAGCTTTGAAACATTTCTAACATATTGGATTATTTCATCAAGAGTTTCCTGGGGGCTAAAGAGATGGATTAGCAGTTAAGAACTTGTACTGCTCTTGTATGGGATCCAAGTTCTTTTCCAAGCTCTACATGGTGGTCATAATCACCATTAACTCCAGTCCAGAGAACCTGATGTCATCTTCTGGCTTCTGGGGGCTTCCTGCACTCGTGTGATCTACATAAACTCATGCAGGCAAAATACTCATACATAAAAAACTTAATCATCTATTTTTTAAAAAGGAATTTTCTGAGTGGAAAATTTAATGTTTCCAGGTCTGACATTGTCATGTTATCAGGTCCTGTGTTGATTCCTTGAATTTCTGGGGTCCCTGGAACAGACTTTATATTTACTTCATCATTTTTAGATGTGATAAGAACTGGACAAGATCTTTCAATCACAAATGTTACATGTGATCTCATTGACTACTCCCAGCAGAGCTGAAAAGGACTGTTTTCAAAGGCCGAGGAGAACAGGTGCCCAGGCCAGCAGATGGCACATAGTGTCAGTAAATGTTACATCCATGAATCATTGCAGTTCAGAAAGCAAACCAGGTGGGGGCCTTGATTAGTGCACACAGGCAAAGTTCCAGGGGAAACTGGGACATGGTCATGAACAAGAGGGTTTTACTACAGGAAAAGAGCAGTGCCCTCAAATTCCCTTCCAGTCAGGCCCTCGTGAACAGCCAGACAGCACAACTGATGACTCAGGTCACAGTGAGGTCACTGCTGTGTAAACAGCCCTGGAGCGCTGAGCATCAGTAGGGACTACACAGAATGCTGTGCCTCTCTTTCTAGCAGCTTCCCTGTAAGGCACTTGGGGAAGAGGTGCCCAAAGGCAGAGGCTGTGAGTTCAGCTCCCAGGGCATAAATTGCAGGCCTCCACCATTGCCTTTGCTCACCCTGGACGGTAGGTGTGGTCCCAGCTATTGTCTTTCAAGACCCATTTGTCTCTACCAGCTCTGCCACTCTCTTTCCCAGCCAAGTCTTGACCTCACAAACAATGCTGGGGGGAAGCACTTCAGTGAAGGATGATGTCATGTAGGTCTCCTGTCAATAACCAAACACTAAAGGAGAATTTGGCATTGTGAGGAACACTGGTCGGATATTTTCAACAATCAATGCTACAAAAATGATACTATCCACACACATTGTTTTCTCAAATTGTTTTTTTTCTATTTAAAATAATTTTTCTCAGAAGAGCAACTTACATCCCAACCATAAACAACTACAACACAGCTTTTCAAACAAAAACTTTGAACCCCGAGAGATTTCTTTCTGTTACAAAGATAGCACATGTTGAATAGGCATTTGGGACTTTCTAATGTGCATAGGCAGACCCTCCCCTTGACATAACCTTAAAGAAAACTCAAAGGGGTATAACTTTATGGTAGGGATCCACTGATATTTTCATTCAGCTGTCCACACATCAAACAGCATCTTCCTGAGTATTAATCTACATTTTCATGATCTAATTGCACATGCCAAGAAAGCAACTGTGTGTCTCCAGTCCCTTATGAAGGCTTATGTGTATATTTATTCAGACATGTGGAAGGCAGCAATACTGCATCCCGTAATACTGAAGGCACAGAAATACTGAGTTTGTTGTACCACGATGTGTCATCCAAGCTTCAGTGAACTCAATGGGTTGGATTTGGATGGAGCCAAAGCATAACTTAAATGAAGCAGCTCATATTTAGGACATGAAACTCTTAGGTGACTGGCTAGGGCTTTCCCTTTTTTCCCTACCACACTGGGATCACATCTGTTCAAGGAATCCAGTTCACCACAAAGTATGCTATGATAATTTGGAAAGTAAAAGATATCTTCATGAATATCAAAAAAGCATGGCCCTTTAAAAAAAAGTAAGTGTTGGTTTCAGAGATATACCAATTCATATTTATGAATGGAAACTAAGGACATGAAGGGGTAAATTTGTTGTTTTTATCACCGTCATTATTATATTATTTTACTATATTATTACTATTGTTCTAATATGTATTATTATTATAGCTTTATAAGGCATTGCCATCAGGAGAAACTGGTTGGAAAAGACTAAGCATCTGTCTGAATCATGTCAAACCACACTGGGCATCCTATATCTAATCTCAGAATAGACTGAAACAAATGCAACCATCAGAGTGACCACAGACACGAAGTTTGTCTTAATCTAAACAGATTCATGCATTCTTTATTTCAATAGAACTTTCAACAACCCTCATCTTTACTCTCTAAATTTGGGGTTCAGGGGGAAATTTAGTTAATCAAGGGTGGCAAAGCCTGTAGATGACACAGCAAGGATTCTAACCCAATCCATTCAAAACTAAGCCAAAACTAAACAGTGCTCAAGAAAGTCCACATTTGCAGAAAATAGCAGTATCTTTAAAGGTATACTAAGCACCTGTTTTACCAGGGGGACAAATGTTAGAACTTTCCCTGAATAGTTTGAAGAAGCTTTTTAACTGACCAGCTCTGGCAGCTAGAACACTCGCAGGTATATGTCCAGGGTGACCCACCTGCTCCACACAGAAAGGATTTAGAGAGAGCTGAAGTTCAATTTGTTAACATGAAAGATCCCAAAGCTGACCCATCCTGGAACCCCATTCAACTTCTGAGGTGCATCAGTGATTTACACACTGAGGGCTTTATCTAATGGGACAGCCACTCCACCTGTCCTATAAATATAAATGAAGTCAAGCAAGAGAGTGTATGGAATCTCAGAGAGCAAGATTTGCTTACACACTCAGTGAAATCCACTTAAATATTTGAAAGGCCTTTGTAAACTGAATGTATTTGATTTTTGAATACTGCTCATGCTGACCATGCAGGTTCAAATCCTAGCAAATCAAACTTCTCTTCACGCTTTCTGTAGATCTAATAAAGTCAATATGTTAATTTAGAAAAATTCAGAACATCTCATAGTTCACACTCTTCACAGAGCTGAATGCCAAGAGTACTGTAACTTAAAACTACAATTCTAAAATAACCTCTACAATTTTAAGATGTATTTTTCTTATAGTGTGTGTGTGCGTGTGTGCGTGTGCGTGTGTGTGTGTGTGTGTGTGTGTGTGTGTGTGTCTGCTCGTGTGCATGCATGTGCATCACTTGCATTCAGATTCCTACAGAAACCAGAAGAGAGCATCAGATGAGAACCCCTGGAACTGGAGTTACAGGCAGCTGTGAGCCACCCAATGCTTGTGGGTGCTGAGAACCCAACTTGAGAGCAGCAAACACTCTTAACTACTGTGCAGTCTCTCCGGCCTAAGCTTCTACATTTAAAAAAAATCATTATATGGGGTTATATAAATCAATTTGCATGCATATAATGTACTTTGCACACATCACATCTTAAATTAAGCTAGGCCAACAGTGTCTTTGGCACACCAGAATCTCAAGCATTGAAAAAACTGAGGTTAGCCTCAGTTTAATCACAAAATAAAAAGTATGATATGGATTCTGTTTTCATTATTCCCACTCATCTCTTAGTTTTCATGTGCCCATCCCACAGGAACTGGGTAAGACATTAAGACTGAGAAAGCTTTTTTAGACTTGGGCTCGTGTAGCCCAGGCTGGCCTTGAACTCCTACGCTTCCTGCTTTTGCCACCTAAGCACTGGAATTCCCGGCATGAACCACCATGCCTGGTTTATGTGGCACTGGGGAGCTAACACTCTCAGCAATTGCTTGACCCACCCACTAAGTGGCTTCACTGGTTCCTGCTTTCATAGTTTGACACTATGGATAATGTAGCTATGAACTCCTGTATGCAAGTGTTTGTGTATGGGTTTAATTGTTTTGGACATACCACAAACACACCAATTTCCAAAGTGAGGGAGTGGCTTAGATTTGAGATCAGCAGGTAAGATCATTCTGGCTGCCTGATCCAGCCCAACTCCAAAGGTCTAGATGCACAGCTTCTCACTGGGATTGACAATGCCCTCTTAACCTCCGAGCACTCTCTTCTTTTCACTCCCATACCCAGGTGGGTGGACAATACGTCTTCACCCCACTTCCTCCCTGGGTTACTTACCAATCTGACCAGTGGATGTCACAGATTCATATCTTTACCTCTAGTGGTTCTTCTAGTAACCCTCCAAGATGAATGCTCTTGCTGCCATTCTGTGAGAACAAATTAAAGTTAGAGGTGTGGAGCCCAATTCAACTTGTGAGATACATCTGTGATTTATACAACATTGATAGCTTTATCTAACAAGACAGCCACTCCACTGTCCTACAAATATAAATGAAGTCAAGCAAAAAAGCATATAGAATCTTAGAGAACAAGATTTGCTTACACACTCAGTGAAATCCACTTAAATATTTGAAAGGCCTTTGTAAGATAAACATATTTGATTTTCAAGAACTGCTCATGTTGACCATGCAGGTTCAAATCCCAGCAAGCTAAACCTTCTTCATGCTCAGGAGATAAAGCATTTGACGCACAGCATGAAGATCTGAGTTCAGATCCCCAGCACCCACACACAAAGCCTGCTGTGTCAGCAGATAGGTCTATAATCCCAGAACTGGGGAGACGAGAGAAACAAACAGATTACCCCTCATAGGATGGCCAACCTAGCACAAGACAAGTTGAGAGGAAGACACCAGTTCCAAGCTCTGGCCTCCACATGTGCAAGCACACACGTACACAAACCCCTACACACACACACACCCACACACACACACACACACAAGTACTGGAGGCTTGTTCTTGTTCACATATTATATGCTTGGTGCTTGCTCTACAACTCATCCAGTAACCACGCAGTCAACTCATCCAATAGTTTACACAGTCAGGTGTCCGCATTGAATGCCCTCCTTCCCATTGAGTTTCACAGTTTTCTTCTGTCTCATGTTTTCTCCGTCACCTGCATTCTTCCTCTGACCTTCTTGGGATCTTGGTGCCCCTGACAGCTTTGCACTTAAAACCCCTTTTCTCAAAGTGAAAACCTGAGAGCTTGCTAAGCAGAGGTCCGATGAGCTAATGATACCTGGCGCGGAAGCTCAGGTGTCAGGAAGAAGAGGGGGTGACTCAAGCCCCCCCCTAAAGTGAGAAATGAGTATATTCATGTACCTCCACTCACTAGCTCCCACTGGCTTAGCACTTCTCTGTTCCCTTAGAAAATTACAAGAAAATAGGATGGTTTAGTTTTACAAGACAGTGATGGATTCACACTGGACTATGGGCTGTTAATTTGGCCATGAAAATGTAATCAAAGGTTTATAAGGTTCAGAATGATTTTATCTCGTTCATGATAAATTGCCTTTTATTTAATACCTTTCTCTTCTCTTTTATTTTTTTTCTTGCAGGCAGATCAGCTCAAAAGACTTCAGTGAGGTAAGTAACTTTTGTCTAACACAGGACAAATTTTGTGCATTATCTCTGTAAGAAGCAAGATTTTGATCACTGTAGGCAGCAGGGAGCACAGCGGGCTGTCTTGTTTCTTTGTACTTTTTTTTTTCTGCCTTCCACTAGAACTTGGTGTCAACCCAAAACCAGGATTAGTAAAAACACACATTCTTACATTTTGCCAAGATCTTTCCCTTTTTTTTTTTTTTTTTTTTTTTTTTTGGTCTGAGCTGCAACTGAAGCCCATTCTTCCACTATGAGAGTGATCTATTCCAGCAGAAACTGCAGCCTACCTGTCCTGACTCAAGCTCAAGAGTAACTTCTAGTTCTCCAAGTGGGTGCAGACTGGGTCCCACGTGATCTTCACAAAGCCCTAAGTCATTGGTTCTCAACCTTCCTAATGCTGTGACCCTTTAATACAGCTCCTCATGCTGTGGTGACCCCCAACCATAAAATTATTTTGTTGCTACTTCATAACTGTAACTTTGCTAATGTTATAAATCACAATGTAAATATCTGACATAAGACCCAAGGGGAAGCATGACCCACAGGTTGAGAACCAATGCCCTAAGCAAAGAAAGCCTAGGGAAAAGCTAGCTAGTAGAGCTCCCCCAGCTGGTAGAAGATGGGACTGTGTTTATGGATCCCACCATTCTGATCTGCTCCCAACAGCTGTGACTTTGCCAAAAAAAAAAAAGAGAGAGAAACACTGAAAATAAGTTTCTAATGGTAAAAAAGGAAAAGAAGGAGGAGAGAGAGAGAGAGATGACAAAGAAAACATTTCTAGCTCATTCGACTATGTTTGCTAACAGAAAATAAACTTAACTAAAACAGCTAGAGAGATTTCACTGTGCTTTTCTAGTTATATTTGATTTGGAATTGGAAGCCCTCAAGCAAAACAATCAGCTGGGCTCCAACGAGATAAAGCAACTACCCTCCCAGAAGCAGACTTCTCCTGGCTGTCCAGGTCTCCTTCCCCTTGCCTTTGACAAGTCTGAGAACTCCTGCCGCATCAGGTTGAGCACTTTGAACTGCTGGGGAATATTCAGTGGGGAAACCTTCAAATCACTCGTTCAGAACGGATTCATTACCCTTTACACCTAGCCAATGGATTAGCTTTGATTTGCTATCCATAATACACATGCCCTCATCCCAGAACCCCAGGGATGCTGAGGTCTTTAAAACAAAAAGGGCCTTCAGTTAGCTTCAAACAAGACACAGGATGCCTCTCTAAGCAAATTGTTGCTAAGGGTTTCTTGTCTCCACAGCCAACATGTATCAAGATAGCTGGCCTCAAGGTCAGTTAGTCTCAGGATAACTCTTGGAACCTGGTTACAGGCCCCACCTTGTAACTTATCTAAAACAATGATTCCTAAAATTTCCAGATTTTACAATCCTCTGATATTCTTTCCTTGTGCCCTCAAAGAAAGTATGAGTTTACTCACTACCAGAACATTTTTACTTTTTAAGGTTCCTAAGCCATATCATGACATTTCCATCCCCCCAATTAATGAATTTCTTGTCTAGTTGGTTCCTCGGGGTTTCTCAGCAGAGGCAATGTCTGTAATGGCCTTTGGAAATTATTTGCAGTGAAGTGCTAAATCCACTGTCAAGCTCCCTGCCTCGTCAGAGTTTGAAGGCAGAGCCAGGCACATCTGCAAACCCATCGCAATAGGAGGCCGAGGCAGGAGGATTGTTTGTTTAAGCTGGGACAGAACCTTGGTGTTTATGTAGTCTTTTAGAATATTTGTGGATTTCCTTAAAAGTCGGTACTAATAAAAATGTTCCCCAAACTCTATTTTTAAAAAATTCCCAATACACACAGGTTAATTTTCTGTTAAATTTCCTGTTACCTGAAGTCATTCACCATTATCTTATTTAATTTGATGCAGGTCCTTGGAGCAGAAGAAGGTAACTGCTTACATTGGTTTTCTTGCCTGGGTCCTATCACACTAGATCCTGTGTCTGGGTTAGCACTGTGTGGAAAGTGAGGGTTTAAAGCCTGGGATCTATAAGGAACATGTGTGGTGTAGTCATTCAGATGAATGTAAGACTTCATAGGCTACTCCAACATCCTCTGGTCTAAGGAATCATTAAACTCAGGAGTAGGATAGTACTTTTCTTTATCTACATGCACTAACCAAAAGAAGTCACACTTCTGTCACTTGGGAAATGCATTGCCGTCCCACTGTTCAGAAGAAAATCTTGACTTGACATCTCTTTGAGGCCAGCGTCACCATGTGCATCCTCATACACACACGTGTGCACTCTGTTGGTGTTACTGATACAGACATATGCAGCCCAAAGCTCGTTAAACAAGACACTGAGCAGTAATGTACCTTCAGACTACCTTTGAAACACTGTTCCCCATTACTTTAAAATGGTAAATTATCATTCAAAAGGCCAGCCTCATGGTTCAGAGAGTTAGTAAGACACAACATGGGTCAATGAAGGAGCACAATGGATTGGAATTCTGTGACCTGTCTCCAATTTACAATGTGTCTTCTTTAGGTTTTCTGTGGTTGTGATAAAAACAACTTAGGGAGGAAGGGTTTATTTTGCCTTAAAACTCTCAGATCATGTTCTATTCCCGAGGGAAGTCGGGACAGGAACTCTGACAAGGCAGGAAACTGGAGGCAGGAGCTGATGCAAACGAAGGCCATGAGGAGTGCTGCTTACTGGTTTTCTCCTTATAGTTTGCTCAGCCTGCTTTCTTATAGCACCCAGGACCATCAGTCCAAGGGTGGCACTTCCCACAGTGGACCGGGCCCTCCTACATCTATCATTAATCAAGAACATGCCCCAAAGGTCAATCATGTAGGGGGCATTTTTTCAGCTGAGGTTCCCTCTAGCTTGTGTCAAGTAGAAATAAAACTATGTGAGTCTGAGTTGTATTTTCTCTGTGGATCTCAAGTTCGTTCTATGCATTGAAGATGTTAAAACACTTGGAAGTAGGGCCTACCTAGTCCTGTGAGTTCCAAGAGCCCTGATAGGGAACTGGGGACTTGCTAACAACTAAAACAACTGTGAAGGCAAGTGAAGTTTATGATGAATCTTAATGTACTAAGACATTCAGATAACCTTGTAACAGGCTTTGATGTAGCGATGTGACAACGTGGCATTGCTAAGCTCCAGAGGAGCAGAGTATATGCAATGTGAGTCTCACGTCAGGTTATATGCAATGTCCTTCATACGTATCAATGGCTGGTTAAAAATCCATCCATGGGTGGAAAGCAGGACAGTAACGGCATGCTAACTAACTCCAGTGTGGAGGCATGACTGAACTTGGTTATTTTTTCTAGTGATTTCTGTGCTTAAACATTCTAGCCAAAACCAACCTGAGGAGGGGATTTAGCTCACTCTTTAAGGTCACATTCACTCACTGAGCAAAATCAGGACAAGAAAGAAAGATAGGAACCTGGAAGCAAGAATCATGGAAGGATGCTGCCTGCGACCCCCTCCCAGGCTGGTGCTTAGCTAGCTTTTCTAGATAGCTCAGGCACACCTGCCTGGTGGTGCTTCTGCCCACAGTGGGCACCTGCATTGATTAATAATCAATATAATCCCCCAATGACATGAATATAGGCTCATCTGATCTGGGCAATTCCTCAATTGAGGCTCTTCCTTAAGATTACTGAAGGATGTGTAAAGTTGACAGATTTATCTAAGACAATGATCAAGGAGGAAACAATGAGGAAATGGATCCCAGTTTGTTACCATCTGGTAACTGCTGGCCTACATCAGAACCTTGGAAGCTCCCCTGCTCTGTCACAAGATGGGATGAGAACACAGTGGCTTGTATGGGCACTTGGCATCCCTAGACCCTGCTGCTCCCACAGCAGCCCTTTGGCTTCACACTCTCCTCATCAGGATGTCATTCACCAGTCAACCCTCACATTAGCCACACAAGGTCAACCCTGTACCCTAAAGCATGCTACACTTTCTTTATGTCACTCATTCTGTGCAGACGTTTTTCCTGCTCTGCTTGCTTGCTGTCTTCTTTGATTTAGTCACTCCCCACTGAAACTCCATATGCTAGCACAGAACCCATTCCCTAAGTGATACACAAAGACTCACTGAATCATATAAAGAAACCAACAAATGAATGACTGGGTGTATGGGTGCATGATAAAGCCAGTCTTTTAAAATTAATTCATCTATAATAACCCCTAAAGGGCCTTCTTATGAAATATTCTGTATTACTGGGAAAATACAGTCATGTGTGCTCTAGATTGTAAACAATCCATGCAATTTTTACAACTTCCAGAAGGGAGCACTCCTGGGGTGTGGGGCTATAGACTATATGAGCTTCTTAAAGCCCCCTAATGATAATGAGAGTACTCAAATTATAGCCATCACAGGGTATTCCCCCAAAGCCCTCAATTGTATTCATTGTGCAATATGAACCAAGTATGTCATACTTTCCAGGATCTCATCACCGGGCAAAGCCAAGACCTTCTCACCCATCACAACACCAAAACACTCAGAAGAGTCCACCTGCCAACACCAGGTAAGAAGGCAGGAATACCTATTAATTCTCACATCAGCAGAAATGTGACTCACAAGACTTCTAAGAAATGGGAAATGTTAGACCGTCTACTCTTAAGCCCAGTGATAGGTCTCAAGGAAAACAAGGTCATCTCCATGTGCCATAGAATCTAATAATGTCTTCCTGCTATTTATAAATGATTGGCTCTTACAGGCAACAGAGGGGTGTAAAAACTTAAATATTAACTGAATGTGGTAGATGCTGATCAAATTTTCAGCAGGTCATCTCTAGCTTTTCTCAGCTCACGACTGCATCAAATCCCACAGACACATTTGAACTGTATAGGTGAGCAGATGTTGAGAATGCTACTTTGGATGATGTAATCACATGATCAGTTGATTGTGACATCGTCAGTTTCACTGAGGAGTTGAAGAATCAAAGGTGGTTCCTTGATCGAGGTCACTTGAAAAAATGGGTAGTGACTTTCTCAAAATGGAGAACCTGTTAAGTTAGGACTCTGAGTTGCTGCTATGCAACCCTAGCTAATGGCTGTGACCTCAGTTCCCGGCCCGCTCCATTACATACTACATCCTCATCAAATGTCCTCCATCCACCCCACTCCCCCTCTCAGAAGTACATTTTCACATCTATCTTCTGTCTACTTTCTTCATAGTTACTTCCCCATAGTCATTCTCTCCCTGCGTGGAAAAGTTATTTCCATCCATCACACCCAAAGTTAGAGCCACACTGAATCCAGAATATCACTTCATTCATTCCTCAGATGGTAAACATGAAGTCCAGAGTTCCTTGACCACTGAAGTTAAGGGAAACTCCAAAGCCCTAGCTTCTGCTGCTACAACAACTTGATTCCAGCAACACTGCCCATAGTCATGGCTCTCCTCATGCATGCCCATAGTTGAGATGGTACCTTGACTTATAATAGTTAGTGTGAGTGTCCACAACTCTTGCCTGTCTATTAAAATAGCCTTCTATTGACACCAAGAGCATCCACCCCATCCCATTCCCTATGAGATTACTTCTTGGGCTCTTACAGAATAGCCTACGGTTTCTCAGCTCTGAACCTTCCCACAGTGCTATACCACCTTCCTGGAATGTGCTTCCCCATCCTTTACAATCACAGCAATTCTACATGTGTGACCCCACAGTAGCTGACATTGTATACTTTTCCTGGGACACCTGTCAGGTCCATTAGGATTCTCCACAGCCATGTCTTCCTTGCATAAACTGCTTCCCACTAAAGCAGAAACCAGGTGTCTCCTTCATTTAGTATTCCCCCCAAGCACAGGCTCATTTGAAAGTGCTGAACACATTTATTAGATGAGTCATCACTTTTATGTCAGCTTTAGTTGTTTTAAAATTTTGTGTCTATCCTTATGAACTATGTGCTTGGTACCTAAAACATTGTGGAAGGACACTCCACCTCTCTTAGCATTCCCTACAAATTCTTTGAAATCAGAGAGCAAGTTTGTGACTCATTTTTTCCCTCAGCCACCTAACAGAAATGATATATTGGCTCCTTGTAAGGGGACACCAGTTTTAATAGTCAAGAGCGTAGATGTCAGAAGTGTAACCAGTGATGGTGGCAGTGTCTGGTTCTCAGATAACCTGCAAGAATTTTCAATTATAAAGCCAGCTGCAAGGTCCTTGGGCTTCTGTGGGGACAACAAAAAGCAGATACTTCCTCAGTTGATTTCACTGGTGCTAGGAAAAGGTCAAGTTGCTTTTAATTAGACCAGAGGCTTCCGTCAATAGCACAATCCTTGGCTCATGTAATTAGATGGAATTCTATTAGCACCTGGAGCTTACACTGACGTTGATAATAACACAAAGTGAAGGAGAAAATTAAAGTGAGGTGCAAAGTGTAGATGTGGGTAGGCAGTCCTGGTCACACCACCTTTGTGATTAGAAATGCACATTGCTGTTGTGGTTACCTTGTATTATATTTCTGTGGAGTTCCTTGGGATTCTGCCTAACTTTCGCATCCAGTTCACGTTTTCAAAAGGCATGAGTTTCTATGCTTCTCCTCCTATTCATAGCTGACTCTCAACTGATAGACGTTCTATAGAATATGAGCCACAAAGGGAGGAGCTTAGCCCAACCTCAACTTGATATGCCATGCTTTGTTGACACCCATGGGAGGCCTGCTCCTTTCTGAACAGAAACAGAAAAGGAATGGATGGGAGGGCAGAGGGGAGGTGGGGGATGCGAGGAGAGGAGGGAGGGTAAACTTTGTTCAGGATTTAAAATAAATGAAAAAATAATTAACAAAAAATAAATTCTAAAAAAAAAAAGAATATGAGCCCCAAACACACTGATGCTAGTGTTCGTGTGTGTAACTAAAAGGCAAGACCAAACTCAGCTTATCAAAGCAAAGAGAGATGGCATGTTCTCCCAGAGATGACAAGGGGAAATAATATGTCCACCAGTCCCTTAGTTCCATGTCTAATGCTTGCCACATTTAAGAGAGGAGAGGAAAAGCCAATCACTACTGTTTTAGAGACTATTCTTCAAGAGAATTCAGCAAAATATGCATACCTTATAAATGTCACCTTAAGACGTTGCCGTTGATTTTTGTCTGTCACAAGAATGCCAACATACTAATTCTGATATTTTCTTTAGCTTCCCCTACATGCCAGCAAAGCACAGTGTACATGTCAGAGGTAAGGGCACTGTAAGAATCGTGATATAAACAGGTAAGCCGAGAGTCCTATACAGTGACTCAATGTTTGGGAACTGGAGCCACTGAGCTGATGTGTACAGTTGTGATTGTCTCATCTTCAGCAAGTAATTGTGTTCCCTTTGTGTTAAAGCTACATAACAACTTAATTTTTATTTGAATTCATGATGAAACAATCCTCTTATAAGCATTATTTTTGCAAACCATAATAGTGACATCTTTCTAGAAGTACAATAGGCTCAGCTCTTTCTGAAAGAGAAATATCCAGGTCTCAAGCTGTGCGTCTCTTTAGCTGCCTCAGATGATTTTTTGCACAGTAGACATAGCAGTTAGCTATTAAACTGATAAGAACATACTACACCTGGTCTTCCTCAGAAGTGGGGTGAATTCACACATCAGTCACTAACAGTTCATGAGTGCACTGTGCTCTCCATCATCTCCAACAGCTGCAGACAATTTTTCCCCAACACACTGGGTGTAATGTATATTTATCTTAAGAAATAGAAATCTGTAAAATGAAAAAAGTGACCTGGTTAACTTAAATGACCACTCTTACTGATCCCGACGTAAGACTTGGAAAGCTAACATCTCTTCATGAAGCAGAATAGAAACACAGCCCGGCACCCGCCAGGGGGCTCAGCATTGTCAGTGTCTTTTGTCTCAGCTATTTCTGCCATGTGCATTCCCCTCTTGGTTACTCTGTGTGCCGGGGCAATGCTGCGTTCACGTCTCTCGCTGATCCAGAAAAGCATATCTGGGGCTGAGAAGAGCAGACTCCCCGGGGTACAGTGGAGGGGGTGAGAACTCCACTGCCCTGACCCCAGCTCTGCCTGGCTCTCTTCAGCGGGGCCACTGAAGTCTAGTTGACTCTTTGAACTTCGATCTTCCACTGTCAGAAAGTAAATAAAAGCTCCTCTATTAGTATCAGTACAATATGCACACATCCAGCCTCCTACTCGACACTCTCCGGTCTTAATACCCTTCCTTCTTTTCTTTCTTCCCCCATTTCCCCTTCCCCAAATGACATCAGAGAGCCTCAGAGACACCAGACTGCTTCCCATCAGGCCTCATTTCACTTTTGCCCTGCACTGAAATAGTAAGGCCCAGATGATAATTTATTTTTTCAATGCATACAATGATACTGGGACTCTCTCCAAACAGGGATTCCACTCATTCATACACCCACTTCTTCAGAAAAGGTAGTCCAGGGTTGTCTTAAATTCACTCTGTAGCCTAAGCTGACCTTGAACTCCTGATCCTCCTGTTTTTACCTCCCCAAAATTGGTATTACAGGTATGCCACACAGCTGACTTGAGTGGTCAAGAGAGCTGGGATTAATTCACAGCCTCCTTCCATTCCTAGGGCTCAAATGTCAGCATCAGGGGTGCTGAAGGCTCAGATTTAGGCATGTAAAGCTGGCTGGGAGTATCCATCTGGAGAGTACCTGGGGTAAACAGGGATGGAAAGGGCTTGATTTGTGGGTTTTGAAAGTGTGCTTCAAGGTTAGATAGAATCATAACTCAGACCAGATTGGCAGGCCTCTGTCTCAAAGACAAAAGCATGTGCAGATACAAGGCAAAGCAAGCATAGGTTGTAAACACAGTGTTAAGGGAATGGACATCACCACCAGGAGTCCAGCCAGTCATTTGTGTCCTGAACCCATCACAGAGGAAGTTAGACTTATTTAGAAAACCTAGAGGGGACGGAGGAGATGTTTTGCCTCCATTATTTTCTCTTTCCATCAACAAGCACCCACCAAATGCATCATCAGTACTCAAAATGTGGCCACTCTGTAAAGATGCAGAGACAGCCCTATCTTTCCAAAGACCAGTGCTTCTCCATCGGCTTACTAAGCAAATATTCATTCTGCTGAGAGGAAGTTCATTGGTCAGACTTAGCAATGTGTCATGTGCAGAAGACAATGTGTCATCTGCACTCATAGATTGCCAGTATAGTGGAGCTCAGCCCCACACAAGGACTCATACAGATGCTTTAAGGGTGAGCTTTCATATAGAATAGTGAGGTCCACATCTCTGTAGATGCTGATGTCATTATTCTTATAAATAGAAAAAGAATCTTGGACAGGTTTAGTTTCTGGGTAGTTTACTTACAGATAAGCACAATGGGCCCAATGTATTGATAAGTTAACTCTAGATAAACTATAAAGAATCCCAGTGAACAAATCATATGTGTGTTTTACATGCACAAACTAGAAGAGGGTTCAAAAACATCTTATTATACACCAAGATAGTAACAATATTGTTCTTTAGATTTGGAAGTATGGACGATTGTGTGTATGTGTGTGTGTGTCTGTCTGTCTGTATTTAGTCTTGTTTTGTTCTGCTTTCTTTTGGAAAACATACATCTGGCCTTTCTTTCCTATAAAGCAAATTTTTAATTATATATAAATATAAGTTAAAATCTTCTGATAAGCACTGACATACATAATGCCTGATTTTAAACGTTGTACTGTAAGTGACAACAGACTGATATGAGGCTCTCTCTCTCTTTGGTAATATTGAGCACACAAGTTAGCATCCAGGGACTGATCCCAAGGGTCAGAGTTTTGCTGAGACACACAGCTACAGAAGAATTTTAAAGCAACTGGGCAGTGGTGGCGCACACCTTTAATTCAAACACCCAGGAGGCAGAGGCAGGCAGATCTCTGTAAGGCCAGCCTGGTCTATAGAGCAAGTTCCAGGACAAGCTCCAAAGCTACACAGAAAAACCCTGTCTCAGAAAAAAGGAGAGAGAGAGAGAGAGAGAGAGAGAGAGAGAGAGAGAGAGAGAGAGAGAGAGAGAGAGAGAGAGAGAGATTATCAGGCTGTTTTGCTTCTTGGGGTGTCAGCTGCCCACCCTAAAATTTCGACTGACCTTTCGCCAATCTCTCCATTGCTGTCACCCTAACTTTTCCGGGCTTCATAAGAGTGATCAGCCTCAAATGCAATGTCTCATATAAGAAGCTTTGGAAGCTCAGTTGCTTTCATTCTGAGGGAGTAGAGCCTGCGATGTGCTGGGATACAGACAGCATGCTCAGAACTGTTCATTTATTCATTCATCATCCCACACAGATCCAAACCAGCCGCTTCAGAAGAAAACTGTGTAGCAAATTTGCTGTTGTTTCATTTTGCTAGTTCTGTGAACAGACTACAAATGCATAATTATTTCCAAATGCTCTTTTTAAAAATAGGACTTTTTAAATATTTAAGCAAGGCATACAGGGTTGAACGATAATGAATCAGTTGCCATAATATCATAAAAATTTCATAATCCCCGAACTCTATTGGGCACAAAGCACAAACTGAGTAATAAGAAATGCTGATAGTGCTGATTTCCCTCTCAAGTTTGCTCTTACTGCTTCCAGTCACAGAGGAAAGACACACACCCCTGCATTCTGCTCTAGGATAACTCACAAGAAAGTTTTTAAGCCAATGTCCTTCTCACGAATAGAGGCCTATAGGTTTGCTCTTAGGACTGCTGGGTATGTGATCCCCATCTTTTGCATGTGATTTCTCTGTGCCCTTAGCCTCTGGATATGTGATTACCACACTTGTGTTTTAAGTTTAAAACATTTAAAGTTAAAAAAAAAAACACTTAGGTTTTTAAGCCAATTTAAGTGCTCTGTTTCCATGTTTGATGTCTGTTGTGAATGCCAAAATTTGGGTCTACTTTTGTGTTGGCTGCTCAACTTTTCACTAATGTTTTGGTTTTCTTCCTGCTTGTGTTAAGTCCACCTCTCCTTTACTCCCCATGTTCCCCCGTTGTCTGGGAGGTATACTTCTCAAGATTATTCTCCTCTTGGTTACTCAGCATTGTAAAAAGAGAAATGTTTAAAATAGCAGAAAGTCACATTCTCTTTCTAAACAGTCTCAAAAAGCAAAAACAGTTTATCAGTATAGATTCTACACCATTTCAAAGTTAAGTTTTATTATTTGTCAACTGACATTTTAGGAAGGAAATCTTTAGCTTTCCTCTTGCTCTTAAGATCATAAATTGGTGGGTGAAATTAACTTTATTATAAATGCATTTAGATTCTAGATGGTCGGTCTTCCCCTTAGGTCTTGGTAGTCCCAGCTTTTTGGCAGGAGAACCGCAAATGCAAGGCTTTCCTGGAATACACAGTGAGTTCACAGCCAACCTATGCAACTTAATAAGCCCCCATTTCAGAAAAAGAAAAAGAAAACTAAAGAGTGTTCTAGACTGTTCTAGGGACATAGCCTAGTGGTCCATCTCTTGCTTAGCATGCACACGGCTCTGAGTCCAATTCCTATTAAACACAAACACACACATTCTTGGGCTCAATAAAAATCATAATCACTGGCACAATACTGTTTGTTCTTAGTAAATACTTGCTGAAACTTCATTTCATCTTAACAAACTTTGGGTCTAAAGTAACTCACACCCCTGAGGTTCTTGATCGGCTGCTAACCAGGATGACAGCTTGGTTGTGCCTCTGAGACTGTGGAAGGCTATATGCTTACAATGCTGACATGAGGAGAATCACATCACTTCCAGTTTATATGTGCTCTCCCCCCCCTCTCCCTCCCTCCCTCCCTCTCCCTCTTTCTCTCTCTCTCTCTCTCTCTCCCTCCCTCCCTCCCTCCCTCCCTCCCTCCCTCCCTCCCTCCCTCTCTCTCTCTCTCTCTCTCTCTCTCTCTCTCTCTCTCTCTCTCTCTGGAATCCTACTATGTAGTATGTAGCCCAGGGTGGCCTAGAGCTCTTTACGTAGACTAGGCTGACCTCAAAAAACTCAAAGAGAAATCTGCGTAGCTCTGGCCTCCCAAGTGCTGGATTTAAAAGTATATGCCACCACATCTGGTTTATATGTTACCTTTGCCTGGCATTTTACTTACATAGTGTTTGTATAATCTTATGATTTTATATTTTTTAGACATTCCTACCTTAAATTACTAACATATTCACAAATTTCTTAGCTGTGCTTGGCTCACCTCCTGATACCACATGTCATCCTTCCAAGCTAAATGTCAAAACTGTCAAAACCCCCATCCTTGATTTCTATTTACAAGAATAACATGTGGTGGAAATGTTTCATTTTGGTTGAAGCATGTAGAAAAAAACACCATATCAAAATTTGACAAATGGTAGTATTTTAATGCTTAGGTGCCAGGTAAAATGGACTGACTTATTTTGCAACTCAATTCACTTCTTACCCAGGCATGGCAAATTGTAGCATCAACACATGGGTCAGTTAGAAATAATAGTTCACAGACATGATCTAGACTTTCAGTGGTAACATATAAGTCACATTTCCCCCTCTCTAACAGAATTCTTGAGGAAAAAAATACAAAAAAAAAAACTAAAGGAGCTAAGATTTCCTTTGACTTGTAACTTCAAATCCATGATTGCTAGACTCCATCACTTTTGAGGTTGAGGCAAGGTCAAACATCATACAGAATGTGACAGAGCAAAGCTGCTCATGGGTACCAGGAAACAGACTGAGTAAAGTCCTGGGATAGGATAAATCCCTCGAAGGCATTCTTCCTGTTACCCAATTCCTCCAACTAGGACCACCCCTTAACAATCAATGAATTCATCAGTAAATTAACCTATGAAGGGGTTAGAGCCCTCATGAACCAATCACCTCTTGACAGTACTACCATTGGGGATGTGCAATGCACATCCTTGACATAGATAGCCTAACATGCTTGTGTCAGTCAGACATGCTGCAGTGTGACAGTACATTTGTGTTTATGTTTTTCATCTCTATCCATAGTTGCCTGGCCCTGTTGCCTTGGGCCTATGATATAGCAGAGCATCATGGTAAGGAGTGTATGATGGGAACAAGGCTACTCAGTTCCAGTGTGGGGCCCTAATATCCCCTTCAAGAGCACATCCCCACGGATATACTACACCTAGGGTTCATCTCCTAAAGTATCTACCACCTCTCGAGAGCATCCCATGCTGTGGATCAAAACTTCAGCACACATGCTTTGGGGATCCAATTACCATGCCAACCACGACGATGTGTCATTATATAATATACTTATATTTGCAAGCAGTACCACCAATCTCATGAGAAAAGTCGATCAGAACACTGTTGTGTTAGATGCACATTCCCCAGCTTCCAATTTGCACCTTTGTGCTTTAAATTTATGATTGGCAACAAATACTATTTATTCCCTTGCATTATTCATTTTAAACGTGGATGCCAAACATCCAAGTCTGAATTACCATGGCTTCTCTACCAGCTGCTATTCCAGGTTAAGAAGAAATCATATTTTAGTTTTCTTAGCTTACACTTGGAGTTTCTTAATGGTATTTCCCAAGCTAGGAATGATCATGGTAGGCTTAAGAAACTGAGCAGAGTTCATTACGGTCTGGATGGAGCAGTTAATGTGGGAAGGATGAGGCAAGGACAAAGAAATAAGAAGACATGGAATTTGGAGCCTTAAAAACAGAAGATGGGGGGTTGGAGAGGTGGCTCAATGGTTAAGAGTGCTGGCTGCTCTTCCAGAGGACCCAGGTTCAGTTCTCAGCACCCACAGTGGCAGCTTATAACTGTCGGCAACTCCAGTTCCAGAGAAATCTAACACCCTCACACAGACAACTCACCTAATGTAAAAATAAATTAGTAGTAGTAGTAGTAGTGGTAGTAGTGGTAGTAGTAGTAGTAGTAGTAGTAGTAGTAGTAGTAGTAGTAGTAGTAGTAGTTTTTCCAGACAGAGTCTCTCTGTAGCCTTGACTGTCCTGGAACTTGCTCTGTAGACCAGGCTGTCCTTGAACTCACAGAGATCTGCCTGCATATGCTTTCCAAGTGCTGGGATTAAAGGCCTGCACCACCACCTACAGCTAAATAAATTATTTAAACACACAAACAAAAAATGATGAGAGACTTTTTTTTATTTGAGGGAGGATAATCATGAAAAGACTTTTAACCAGGATGAGTAGCTATGTCTCTGTTTCTCTCTCTCTCTCTCTCTCTCTCTCTCTCTCTCTCTCTCTCTCTCTCTCTCTCTCTTTCTCGTGTGTGTGTGTGTGTGTGTGTGTGTGTGTGTGTGATGTATGTATGTGTGTAGGCCCACACAGAGGTCAAAGGACAACTTTGGGTTTGGTCCTAACCTTCCACCTTATTTAACACAAGGACTTTGAGGGTTTTTTTCCTAATGTAGTCTGTCAGGTGAGTTAGCCTGAAAGCCTCTGTGTATTTTCCTATCTCTGTCTACCATTTCCTTGTAGTAATGCTGGAATTACAGCTCTCACTAGCATCTGGCCTTTACATGGGTTCTGAGGATTTGAACACAGCTCATCACACTTGTGAGGCAAACTCTCCTTACCCACTGAGCCAGCCACACAATTATAGTTTTGGAAAATTACTCCAGGTTCCCAGTGGAGAGAGAGTGGCCAGCGTGGATGTGGGAGTAAGGGAGTAATTCGGAGAGCACTGTGGTCCATGGTGAGAGGGTGTTGTCTCGACTACAAGGATGGCCAGAGGCAGGCAGAAGTGATGGGCCCATCTTTCTGTTGGAAGGAGACAGGCAAAGACAGCAATGGGATTTCATTTAAGTGTAATCTCTTCTCAGACCATACAGGCACCATGCAACGCCGTCCTCCTCAGAGATGCCAAGCTGCAGCCAGTCACAGCACACATGATTGTGTGCTGCCCTACGAAAACACAAACTCGGAGAAACCTGGCCTCACCAAGCTTGATGAGAAGGTGAGGTGGGAACTCCTGGAAGTCCTCTAGCTGTCCTTGGCATCCAGTGTGAGCTTGCTGGGAAAGCCCAAAGCTGATCATTGTGGTTGCCATTAATTATTTTCCCATATAATGACAAATCCGTGGGGCTTAATGTTTCTAAAATGTTTTGTTGTCTCATAAGTTTCACTAGATGTTTAACTTGCGTGTTTTACAGATTCTCAGAATGTTCTGTTCCTTAATTCCAGGAGGTAGGAGGGCAGGGTTGAGAGAGATTTAGACTTTATTTGTTAAGTTTCATGGATGATTAACTGGAATTTGAATACGAGAATTCATTTTCCATCAAAAGATTTACAAGTCACATTTCAACTTCATTTGAGCCTGGCCGCCATTTCCTGAGCATTGATTATATGTATCAGACAGCGTGAGGAGTACAGACCCCTGACACAGAAGAGAGTTGGAAACAACTAATAAGTGGCTTCGTTTGTCTTTCTCTGTTTCTCCCTAAAATCAGCTCCATTCACACAGTCACTTCTCAGTCCATCTTGCACCCATGGTGTCCTCTAAGGAGGGTGAGATCTCTTTGTGTCTTATCTGTTCCACCCTCCATCACCTAGGACGTTACTTTCTACAGACAGCACCAAAGAAGATGCTGCTGCCCTCATTCCATATCCCCCACTGCTCCAGAGCTTCTCGAAGTTTGTAAGCCAAGCATCTGGGATCTCTGATCAATTCCTATAGTGTCTCAAACGTCTCTGCTTGGCCTTATAATTAATCCCTGCCTAGCTCTCTAATGGATTCCCATTCTTCTAATGGACTCTGGAATACTTTTTCATTTTCCCTTCACATGGACCTGAGTATTTTTCACTCTGCCACTCTCAGAAGTCTCAAGATTCTTGGACTCTAACTCAATATCTATGTTAAGACCAAACTCCCACAACCTGAGTTCCACGGGCATGAGAGAAGCTAGACTAGATCAGGATGTTCATACTTTCAACAGTTCAGCAGATCTAAATCCTCTCAATAATGATGTCCATGTAATATTGGGTAAATAGGCTGCTCTCACTTTCCATCGCTATGTTACTATTATCTAAAAGCAGTATTCCAGAGCACAGACAAAAAGGAAACTACAAGTCAATTGACACATTCTACTACTGAAAACTGAAGTACTACTAAGAAAACTGAAAGCAGAGACCAACAGCATTTGGATACTCTGTTTATAACATTATATATGATAGTCAAAAGGCAGGAAGAGCATGGGTATCCACTCACAGACCGAGAGATAAATATCACACACATTCACACACAGACAATCATCTCAAATAGAAAAAATCTGGCATGTACTACATGAATATACTTCAAAAACATGACACTAGGTGAAATCAGACACTAAAGGACAAGCACATACCTCCTGCTATTCAAGGTTCATAGAGCAGCAAAGTCTACAGAGACATCCAGTAGCAGGTGATTGGGAAGGAGAAGGCAGTAATGGAGAGCTGTTGCTTAGTGGGCACAGAGTTTTACTTTGAGAGGGTGGAACATTCTTGGAAATAGATAATGGTGACGGTTTTAAAACAATGGATTGAACACTCAACAGTGGCTAAAAGGCTGACTCTTTACACCGTGAATATTTCACTGTGCTTTTTAAAAGGTAGAGCAGGATCCTGCATCTTGCTAAAGGTTCCCAGAGTAATGGTTTCATGTCTTCTGTTGAGGGATGACTAGAAATGCCAGCACTATTAAGGCTACGCTAACACCAGGCACAGTGCTCTGTAGTCACTCAGAGGACCAAAAAGGACTAAAGATGAGATTGGCTCCTCCACATTGTCACTCAGAAGTCACCAAGAGCTTCGCTCAAGCACCAGTCTACACCCTACACCCCTCAAAACCTCATCTTGAAATAGTCCAAGATGCCCAAACTGCAATATCTAAGATCGTTCTGAACCTGTGGGTCATGAACCTTTTAGGGAGTGATATATCAGATACCCTGCATATAAGGTATTTACATTTCAATTCATAACAGTAGCAAAATTACAGTTATGAAGTAGCAATGAAATAATTTTATGGTTGGGGGTCACTGCAGCATGAGAAACTCTGTTAAAGGGTTCCAGCATTAGGAAGGTCCAGAACCACAATTTTAAGGCATCTTCCAGTTTAAATGTATAAATCAGAGTAAATGAAACATACCATGGCTGAGCCCACCCAAGCCCTGAGGCTAACCAGGAGTCCCAGAGTCACCACCACAAAGACCACAGTGATAGGAAGGCTCACACCCTAGCAGGGAGCTGAAATCTTGGACATTTTCTTACTGGGAACCTGCCTGAGCTCTACCTAGGGCAGAGTCTTGACCTTCCCAGCACTGATTATTCCTCAAGTAGAGGAACTTATTACAAAGGGGGCTTCAAACAAGAGTTTTAGTTTCACTTTTTGTCTGTGTTTACAAAACCAAAGAACTACTTAAGATATTATTTATGTTAAGCGGTGGTGCACACCTTTAATCCCAGCATTCGGGTGGCAGAGGCAAGTGAATCTCTGAGTTTGAGGCTAGCCTGGTTTACAGAGCGAGTTCCAGGATAGGTTCCAAAGCTACACAGAGAAACCCTAACTGAAAAAAACAAAACAAAACAAAAAAGCTATTATTTACATACAATAAACATCAGAAATTGCAAGTATTATGTACAGTCTCATGGCTTCTGAGAAATGAAAATAACAGGCTAGCCACTGTCCTGGTTCAAGAAACACTTTTCACTATACCCCAATATCCTTCCTGCTCCTATGAAATCCTGTCCTCCTTAACTCCAGACAGCAACTCTCTAATTTCCACCACTGCCCTGTGTCTTTCATAGGGGCCTATCTAAACAGATCCAGAGAGTGACCTTTTGTTCCCTGAGTACAATGCTTTTGAGGGTAACCTTTGTGGTTGCCTGTGTCCTGTTTCCCTTTAGTTTTGTATTGCACTCTTTTTTTTTTTTCTTTTTTTTTTTTTTTTTTGGTTTTTCGAGACAGGGTTTCTCTGTATTGTTTTGGAGGCTGTCCTGGATCTTGCTCTGTAGACCAGGCTGGTCTCGAACTCACAGAGATCCACCTGCCTCTGCCTCCCGAGTGCTGGGATTAAAGGCATGCACCACCAATGCCCGGCTATCTTTTTTCTTTTTTTCTTTTTTTTTTGTATTGCACTCTTAATGGAGGAGAATGCCTGAGTTGAATGGCAGAGAAAGAAGGACTATAAGACTATAAGCCCAGGGAGCTGGTGTGTGTGTGTTGGAATAGTAGGCATGTCTAACTGGCCAGGCCCATGATCTGAGAGCATGAAAGGAGGTACAGCTACAGCTAGATAGGAGCAGTACATGCAAGCCAGATGGATTCACCTGTGCCCATCACTGGATGGATCATGTTGGTGCTCGGAAGACCAGAGACTGCAATGGGAGACCAAGGACTTTATGTCATATCCCTGGTTCTTGACAACCACATGGAAGATTTTGACTCCTCGAGTCTCTGCCAACTATCTATAACTAGAATGAGCACTGTACATCATGCATGGTCGGTCCAGACAAGTAGTGTAGGGAAGGTTTCAGACACTGAATAAGGAAGGGTCTTGGAGAGGGATGGCTCCCATTGTGACCCTGGGAACTCAATGAAGATATTGAAGGACCATGCTGTCTTGGGCACACATGCAATGCCAGAACATAGGTGAAAACACTTGCGTATTTCTGCAATGTCAGAATTCACTGAGTAACACTGACAGATTAGGGAGGGGTACTTATGCTTCCTGAAACTCAAATGATGGACTCTTCCTAACTGATGGGCAATTTCTGGCCACTCATAATGACCACTCTGTTTTTATCCCCCATCAAACCAAGAATCTCCAGCTGCAGTTGCTTTTGCCATGCTCATCTTCTCCCAGCATCAGTAGGCATTTCCAGGTTCCAGGTTCTATGCTGAATATCTATCAATTAGCATGTGATTGGACACTGGTAGAACAAAAGGAAATTTTGAATTAACTAGTTCATAATGAATACCTACCTCCCTCTGATCCTAAAATATTCCTCATTGAACTTGTACCACAGGATGTCCGGCAGAATGAATGGTACATCGGAGAATACAGTCGCCAGGCAGTAGAAGAGGTGCTAATGAGAGAGAACAAGGTAACTAACACCTCTACATCGTTCCTGTGGCCATCCGGTGTATTTATTTCTACATGCGGAAATACTCAAAGGTGGAAGGGGGACTTGGGATGAGGAGGTTCTGTGGAAAAGGAAGGGGGTGAGAAAGGCTAATGGGGTACAGTTTCTAGTTACTTCAGGGAAAACTTTGATGAACCAACACTAAATATCAGATGAAATTGTGGAATAATTTTCTTAAAACACAGAGATATTTAAAATGGTCTCAGACCCAAGACTTGGTTTTGTCATCTATCAGAGACGTGACTCTCCCAAGTTCCTAGACAAGGTTAGCTGTTGATTCTTTATTCATAAAATGAAAACCAGTTTTAAAAATACCAGTGTTAGCCGGGCGGTGGTGGCGCACGCCTTTAATCCCAGCACTCGGGAGGCAGAGGCAGGCGGATCTCTGTGAGTTCGAGGCCAGCCTGGGCTACAGAGCGAGTCCCAGGATAGGCTCCAAAGCTACACAGAGAAACCCTGTCTTGAAGAAAAAAAAAACAAACAAGAAAACAATGCTAAGGGATCCACAGGAAAACCCCATGTGGCATCTTCGGTGCAGTGGTCACAACAGGCAATGCCTCCTTCTGCTCTCTTCAAATTCCATCCCCTTACTACCTGTGTGCCTATGGCGCAAATGGGTCTTTATGTCTCACTTCTTCAGGCAAGGAACAGGAGTCATGAATACCGTGATCCAGCTATGACCGGTGATGTTGCAGTAACAGACACCCCCAGATCTCTGTTGTACCACAGGATACTGTTTCTTCACTGCACACCAGATTTGAGATAGATTTGTTTGGACTGTGCGAAGCCCTGTGTCCACAGTGTGCTTCCAGCATTTCCACTCTGGCTCTCTGTACATCTCTCCAGGAATAATATACTTTACCTTTTCCTTGACCAAATCCCAAGACGAAAGCTAATTTCAAAGGGAAGAGAGAGGTTCCAGCCTACCGTGTGAGAAGAACTTGACTACCACAGCCTTGACCACAAAGCGAGTGATTATTGGGTGACTACTAGGTACAGAACTACGCTGGGTCAGTTAGAAATAACAGAATGCTTCTGGGGCTTCAGGACACCCAATGTGAATGCTGAATGTAAAAACACAATATGAATTAGTCAGTTAATTAGTGACTAGATCATAGGTCCACAACACATTTAAGAAAATTCAGAATTGATGTAAAAGATTAAAATATTCATCAGTTGCTAAGATAAACAGGACCATGGCCATTCGCCACCCCACACATTATGTTGTTCATGGTCTAAATCCCAGAACCTGTGAATGAATAATTTTATATAGGAAAGGAGCCTTAGCAGATTTACTAAATTGGGGATTAGGTTGGGAAGGTTATTCTGAGATGAGTGGCCCTTTGTGGTCCCCAATAAGAGGGAGGCAGGGATGTCATAGAAAATATGTGATTATGGAAACAGAAGTCAGAATGGTGGGGGCACCATGAGCAAGGGATCCTGGTGATCTCTAGAGACTATCAGAGTCATAGACACGGACTCCATTCCCCCATACTAGCTCTAGATCACTGAGACCCTACATTGGACTTCTGACCTCCAAAACTATTCAAGAATGACTTTACTTGTAAGTCACTAATTTCACGTTAGCTCGTTAACACTAGCAGTAGACACAAAGAAGACTGCCAACAAACTGTTATGACCCTATCAGGAATAAGTGAAACTATCCCATTCCGCAGATGGGGAGTCCAGAGATCAAGGTCTCCATTACAACAAAGAGATTGGTACCCCTTTCAGCAAGTTTCAGCTGCTTCCAGCTACTAAGACAGTTCTCTGCAGTGGGATGGAGATAGAGGGTGGTTGGCTGGTCCCCTGTCCTGGGATCTCTATTCCCTTCCTCTGTTAGGGCCTCAGACATGGCTGGCCTCTGCTGTCATAGGATGAGGTATAATGATGGTAGACCCCAGCCAAGGCTTCCCTTCTTGGGTAATCATTACCCAGTGCACTACTGTATGCACAGAGTTGGGCTTTCACCAGAGAACAGTTTTAGAGGACCCAGATGTGGAAGCCCACATGTGAGCTGTGCTGGGAGAGCAATGTGCAGGCCATCTGGCATCAGTGTGACAGGGCTTGGTGCTCCTCAAATCCTCCCTTCCTCCCTGTGTGCCTATGCTGCCTCCTCCAAAGACACAGCATAACACTGGCTAAGCTGAATGACTGTGTTTTCCTTTTCTGTTTGCATCAGTCTTGTCAGAGATAATTTAGTTTAAACGAAGGATTTCCCAGATTTATTTTGACAAGTGCATTGCAGAGTTTAAGAAAATAAACCCCAGTTTGGCCCCAATTCTTGGCCCCCATCCCCTTCCTGATCTTTGGCAGTATACTGTGCTGGAGTCATAAGTCTTTGCTTCTGAATGAACACTTTAGGCAGAGGAAGCCACAGATGGTTCCTCGTCACCCTTGATGAAGCAGAAGTCATCATGCTTAAAGTGTTAGACTTCAAGCTTGACTTTCAGGTTTATCATTTGCTAACTGTCCAACCAATGGCCACATGTGGCCAAGAACAGCTATGAATGCAGGCCAACATATAAGTGTTACTTTACTCAAACCTTATGAGGCAATTTTTGTAACTTTTAAAAAAGACTTATTTGTATTATTTTTATTCAAGTGTGTGTGTGCACACATACATGTGTGGATGCTCACAGAGGCCAGAAAAGCGTGTTGGATCCCTCAGAGACAGGCACAATTTTGTGATATGGGTTTTGGGAAATGAACCAAATTCTTACGATTAAGCAACAAGAACTCTTGATGGCTGAGCCATATTTCCACTTTTTTTCCTTTGAAATTTTGACTGCTCATTTCTCAAGCATGAACTTTAAAGATGATAGCCTCACCTCCAGTCTTAATGTTGGGCATACCTGGCAAGCCTGGGAGATTTGTCTTAGGCTCAGAAGCCAAATCCCTGTATCTGTAAATGGGGGTAAATATCTATCCTAAAGATTTATGTAAAGACCAAATGAAATAATGCATGCAAGATGCTGGTCACCTCAAGGGCAGCTCTCAGTAGACTTCTACTGCCCACACCGTTATAACATATGCATAAAATAATAATGCTGTTTTTAAATTTAGTGTTTGTTAAAGAATCATATTACATGGCATAGTATTTTATATATTGATATATTATGGATTATAATATCTTATAGATTAGTTATCAATATCAAATATAATCTGTATAGATAACTACGCAATGATTACAAATATAAATCATCATACATACTGTCTACACCTATGCTATTTTTATGACATTTATCATCAACACACACTTATATTTGCAGACTTTCAGGACCCTCCAGCATGTGGGTGACACAGCATAATCCTGAAGCCAAGCCCTTCAGTGTGGAAGCCCACCTCTCAACCTCACACCTTCATCTTGATTGATTCCCTCCAGTGTGTCTGGTTATTTCTGTCCCATGCCCTCTCTATCCTCAGCCCTTGGTCTCTAGGCTCCTGTTAATCTTCTGCCTACCTTTGGTGTCCACTGCTTGGCCTCAGACACTGACGCTTCTTGCACCTTTCCTATCTCCTCTCCCTTGCCTCGCCCTTGTCTTGACCTCACTGCAGGCTGTATTTCCTGCTCCCTCTCTAGTCATTCTGGCAATAGTCTCTGAAAAACACCATTCCTCTTTTGGGAACCCTGATCCTGCATCGAAATCTCCCCGACACAGGTGTCCAATTTCCTGGGCTAAGATCTTTGCATGGTCTATGATGGCTTCCATTCCTCTCTCTAGAATAAGAATCGACCTCTAGGATGAACAGGAGACATGTGAACAGTGACAGGTGCAGAGAAACACACCAGAGAGGGATAGAGGAGGACCTCCCTGTGCAGACAGGGGACAATATGCAACAGATAAGAAACCCAGAGCAGGTGTGCATTCAGAAAGTGGTAGTCTGGCTAGAGCCAGCAGCTGGGGACACGTGATCAAACAAACAAAGGAATGGTTGGTGAAACTACTATGAAAGTCTCATTAAGGTTGTAGGAGATATGCAGAGAATAGAGGAAGACTTGAAAGAAGCAAGTACCATTATGCATCTGGCGCACTCTCAGAAGGCAGTAAAATCATCTTATCCATACAGACACTGTGTCAGCCATTGTTATGGCAAAAGACCTGAGGAAACTGAGAAAGAGGGGTTTCTTTGGGCTCCTGGTTTCAACCCCTGTCAGACTGACCCCATTGCTTTTAGGTCTGTGGCAAAGCAGAAGCACTATGAATGAAGGGCTGCCCACCCCACAGTAGTCAGGAAACAGACGATAAGACCAGATACCTCCCCTCAATGAAAGGCGCCCCACCACCACCAATGGCCTACTTCCTACGACTAGGCCCCACTTCCAAATAACCCATTCAGCTTTAAACTCACCAATAGGTTAACCTCACAATGTTAGCACCTTCATAAACCAACTGCCTCCCAGTAACACCACCAGTTAACACATGAGCCTCTTGAGGGGACTCTTCATATCCAAACCCCAACAGGCACTCAGGAAAGCTCACTGAGTTGAATGTGCAGCTGGGCTGCCCAAAACAAAGTCCATTTAGGAGTTTCACAAAAGCATCATTGTTGGCATCACCTTAAGGCCAGGGTCCTGCATACCTGAGAAGATAACCCTAACTCCTTTCACTTCAGGATGGTACTTTTTTGGTCCGAGATTGTTCCACAAAATCCGAGGCAGAGCCCTATGTTTTGATGGTTTTTTATGGGAACAAAGTCTACAACGTGAAAATTCGTTTCCTGGAGAGCAATCAGCAGTTCGCCCTGGGGACAGGACTCAGAGGAAATGAGGTAGGTGTAACCCAACCACTTCCCTTTCCTTGCCTATAAGTAAAAACGAAATAGAGTTTGGGAGATGCTGGGTCCATGTCTACCCCAGAGAGCACAGAACATGACTGAAAAGACACTGCAGTGATACCCTTCCAGCCCCTTCCATGAACATACTAGCATATGTCGCGCGGTGTTCAGTTCATCAGGCCAGCAGTCCGCAATGCTACTGAATGGCTCTCATCCTCCTAAGCCTATTAGAGAAAACTACTCAGAAGGAAGCAACTGCATTCTGGTTTTTTTTTTTTTTTTTTTTTTTTGGTTTTTCGAGGCAGGGTTTCTCTGTGGCTTTGGAAGCTGTCCTGGAACTTGCTTGGTAGTCCAGGCTGGTCTCAAACTTACAGAGATCCGCCTGCCTCTGCCTCCCGAGTGCTGGGATTAAAGGCGTGTGCCACCAATGCCCGGCTTGCATTCTGCTTTGTAGAGAGCTTCTCTTAGCCCATGCTGACACTCCATTCTCAAACCTCACCATGTTTGCTGCAGGTATCTCTGAATTCATTTATCCATAGGGTTAGCTTCTCAAAATGAGTATGTGTTCAACAGTAGCATTTGTTGCTAAACTGAGATTCCATTATCAGTACAGGTATACTGATGGGAGTCCATCTATTGGCAAATCTGTCAGTTGTGTGACTGGTAGCACGGGCCAATAATCTCATATACTTAAGAGGCTGAGGCAGGAAGATTGCCAAGATTAGCATAAGCAGCTTAGTGTGACCCTGTCTTAAAATAAAAGGTACTAGTTCTTTGAATTTCTGATAGAATTCTGCACTGAAGCCATTTGGCCCTGGATTTTTGGTTTGCTTGTTTGTATTGTTGTTATTTTTTTGGCTGGGAGACTTTTGATGCTGCTTCTGTTTCATTAAGGGTTATAGGCCTATTTCAAATGCTTGTCTGTTCTTGATTTAATCTTGGTAAGTGATATCTATCCAGAAAAATTGTCCATTTCCTTTAAATTTTTCAATTTTGTCGAGTACAGGTTTTCAAAGATTGATCTGATGATTCTCTGGATTTCCTCCATGTCTGTTGTTATTTCCTCCTTTTCATTCCTGATTTTGTTAATTTGCATGTTCTTTCTCTGCCTTTTGGTTAGTTTGGATAAAGGTCTGTCTATCTTGCTGATTTTCTCGAAGAACCAACTCTTTGTTTCATTGATTCTTTGTACTTTTTTTTATTTCTACTTTATTGATTTCAGCCCTCAATTTGATTATTTCCTGGTGTCTACTTCTCCTGTGTGAGTTTGCTTTTTTTTTTGTTGTTGTTCTAGAGCTTTCTGGTGTGCTGTTAATTCTCTAGTGTGGCTATTCTCCAGTTTCTTCATGTGTGCTATGAACTTTCCTATTAGCACTGCTTTCAGAATGTCCCATTGGCTTGGGTATGTTGTGCCTTCATTTTCATTGAATTCTAGGAAGTCTTAAATTTCTTTTTTATTTCTTCCTTGACCCAGGAGTGATGCAATTGAGCATTATTCAGTTTCCATGAGTTTGAAGGGTTTCTGCAATTTGTGTTGTTGTTGAATTCTAACTTTAAAGCATGGTGATCCAATAAGATACAGGGGGTTATTCCAATTTTTTTGTATCTATTTAGATTTGCTATGTTGCGGAGAATGTGGTAAATTTTAGGGAAGGTTCCATGTGGCACTGAGAAGGAGGTATATTCTTTTGTGTTTGGATGGAATGTTCTATAGATGTTTGTTAAACCCAACTGGGTCATAACTTCTGTTAGTTCCTTTGTTTCTTTGTTAAGTTTCTGTGGTCCTGTCCAGTAGTGAGAGTGGGGTGTTTAAGTCTCCCACTATAAGTATGTGTGGTTTTATATGTGATTTCAGTTTTAGTAATGTTAGAAACATTACTAACCCACAGAAACATCTGACCTGAGCAAGTGGGAGCTCAGGGACCCCAGTCTGACAGCTGGGTAACCAGCATAGGACCAAATCAGCCCTCCTGAACATGGGTGTCAGCTAGGAGGCCTGGGTAGTCTATAGGGCCTCTGGCAGTGGAACCAGTATTTATCCCTAGTGCACGAATGGACTTCAGGAGCCCATTCTTTATGGAGGGATACTCTCTCAGCCTAGTTATATGGGGAGGGCCTAGGCCCTGCCCCAAATGATATGACAGACTTGAATGATCCCTCATGAAAGGCCTTGCCCTCCCTGGGGAGTGGATAGCAGATGGGATGGGGGGATCCATGGGCGCAGTGGATGAGAGGATGGGAGGGAGAGGGAACTGGGATTGATTTGTAAAATAAGATTGTTTCTAATTTAAATAAAATTTATTAAAAAAATAAATAAAAGGTACAAACAGTGTTGAGAATGTGGCTCAGTGGTAGAGCGCTTGCCCAGTACATGTGAGGCCCTAGGTTTAATCTATAGTACTAGAAAAAAAAATCAACGAACAATCAATTAATAACTATACAAATAAATTGATCAAAAGGAGATGTTTGTTCTGTGTGCATCATCCTGTTTCAGTCCCCAACAACTTTTTGATGTGATCATTCCTGCCTGTCTCAGAGTTACAGAAGTCCAGTCCTAGAAAATTAAGTAAATGGTCAAAAGATGGAAGCAATAGACAGGAGGTAAGCAACGGCTGTACTTCCAGCCTTTCTTTGGTGAAAAATAAGGGAGGAAATGGGGAAGAAGGAAGTCAGTTGTACATCATCATCTACTAAGGATGTGAGTTTGGGCACATCCCTCCACTACTCTGGGCTTTAATCTCAAGTGCAAATCTTAGGATCTGTATCCCTGTAATTCAGTGATGGCCATTCCTTATGTTCTGGAAGTCAAGTCTCCAGAACTTGACCTCATCTGCTGGTGGGGGTCACAGTGTGTAGTGTGTGTCTCCCTCTCCCAAATTTACAAAATGACAGCTGAAATCCAAGGAATTCACAGTAGTTCTTTAAAGCCTTTATAGAGGTACTTAAAGTTAAATGACAGGACTGGATTCTTTAAAATAAAAAAAACAAATATTTTTAGAAGAGAAACCACAGGGTTGGGGAGGCAGCAACAGTAGATTCCTAAGGCTCAATGGCTGCCAGATGAGCCTACTTGGCAAACTTCAGGCCAGTGTGAGAACTTGTCTCAAAAATTAATCAAGTGGACAGCACCTGAAAAATGACACCCAAAATTGTTCTCTGCCCTCCTGTAACACACATGTATAGACACCTAGGCACACACAAACATACACACATGTGCACACACATACCAATAAGAAGCACTAGGAAGTCAGAGATACAGCAATGGTCTACAGCTCTCATCAGCATTCTTGGTCTGTGCTCCATCCATGTTTCATCTGTCCTGGAAATGGAGGGAGGGGGGTGTCTGTGTCTCCTGGGACTCCTTGGTACTGCTTCAGTCCAAGCTTGAAGTTGCAAGAACTTTCCTCAAACATTCATACTGATGTTCAGGTGTTGGCCTCAGCTCCTAAGCCAAATTCAGCAGATGAGCCATGGAATCTCCTGCACTGAGACAAGGGAAGGGATCTACCAGGAAGTAATACCTACTACACAATGAGCATGGCAGCAAGGAAGAAGGCACACAGTAGAAAGCTTTGTCACCTGGAAAGCAAGCGTGAAGCTGAAGGCCTGGTGCAGGGAGTAATGCAACAATCTGGTTCAGTCTGGAAACACCAGTAGGAAAGACGTGCAGCCTAACAGAAGCCAAGGACCTGGATGCGCAGATGAAAATGGTTCATCAGCAAAGAGAAGCACTGGGGTATCACTTGCTGTGTAGAGTACTTGCCTCGCATGCATGAAGCCCTGGGTTCCATCTACACAAAACAGGCGCTGCACATCTGTAGTCCCAGCACTTGGGAGGTAGAGGCAAGAAGACCAAGTTCATGCCCAGTTACATAGTGACTTGTAGGCTAGCATGGGCTATGAGACCCTATCGAAGGAAGAAAGAAAGGGGAGGGAGGGAGGGAGGGAGGGAGGGAGGGAGGGAAAATGAAAGAAACAAAGCTACACAGAGAAACCTTGTCTCAAAAAATAAGAAGGAAGGAAGGAAAGAAAGAAAGAAAGAAAGAAAGAAAGAAAGAAAGAAAGAAAGAAAGAAAGAAAGAAAGAAAGAAAGAAAGAAAGAACGAACGAAAGATTAAATCATAACTTAATCAATGGCTGCATGGCAGCCATACTGAACCAGAGAAGAACAAACATTTTCCAGATGATCCCAAATTGGAACTGCTGTTTGTCATGACCTCAATCAGAACTACACTAGAGAAAAACAGTAAGTCACTGTCACCAAATGTCCTTCTCAAAGTCTGCAAGTCACCTGGTTTCCACTTTTTTTAATCCTTAAAATATATAAACAAGAATATCTCAACCACTTGAAACACAGGCCTAAAATGAAATACTAATGTCTGATCTGACATGAGACAGTAATGTCTGTACTTAGCTATATTTACAAACAGTGGTCAGTTGTTCTGAAACAAATTCACTACAGGGTTTACTCATGGAAATTGTTAGCTGATGTAGCAATATAATCAAACTGTATCCACTTTCACTTATTTTGTGTATTATACACTGTGATGACAGCTGTAGGCTCACTTTAACAATTGTACTTGAGTATAACTACTTTTAAATTTTAGTGTGTGTGTGTGTGTGTGTGTGTGTGTGTACGTGTCTGTCTGATTGTGTGTATGTGTGTGCCTAAGAACATGTATGTGTACCACATGTATGCAGTTGCCCACAGAGAGCAGAAGAAGGCATTGAATCACTTAGAACTGGAGTTATGAACCATCAGATGTAGGTTCTGGGAACAGAGCCCAAGGCCTCCGCAAGAGTAGCAATTATTCTTACCCACTGAGCCATCTTTCCAGCCCTTGAGTATCTTTTAAATGATCCCACTTAAGTTTAGATTTGGAGTACAATAAAGGAAGCTTCTTTTTTCTAATGTCTACTGAGAGAAAATAAGAGTTGTGGATCCACAGATTTACCTGCAGGGAATCAGATTATAAGCGTCCAGCTGAAATATG